AAAACATGGGGTATTCTGAGGCGCTTCTATGACGATCACATCGGTCGCTTCGCAAAGAGCATGCACATTTCCCAAACGGAGGCCATTGAGATGGACGAGATGGCCAAAAAGAAGCGGCACTTCAAGACTCGCACGGTCGCTTTGCAAGAAACGGTTTGGTTCCATGACCTTACCGCCGAAGGCATCGAACCAAATCCTGGTCCATCATCGCCAACGTCTTCTAGCTCTACTTCTTCTCCACTTGGCCTCTTCTTCCACAACTGTGATGGGCTGGAAGGAGCTTATCGGTCCCTCAAGCTTGCGGCAAAGCGGTCTCACAGGCCTCATGTCATTGGTCTTGTCGAAGTTCGTGCTCTTCCACAGCAGAAGCCATCACTTCTTCAACATCTTCGGCGATTGGGGTACAGAGGATGGTATTTTGCAGGCGAAGTGCAAACCGATGTACGGGGAAAGAAATATCTCCATGGAGGTGTTTTGGTTGCAGTGCGGGACGATGTCAAAGCGAATGTCATTGATTCTTTCATTCACGATGAAGGCGAAGCTGCATTGGCATGCGTCGGCGACACCCAGGTTGCGATTGTGTGGCGCCGACCGCGTGCACACTCGGATGGATTTCTCGACAACTTCACACCTTGGGTTGCCGACTCTTGGGCAACCGCTACTCCTTTCCTTGCGGTGGGGGATTGGAACTGGGAGCCCGATGAGAATGTCTTCACGGCTACCGGGTTGCATCATTGCGCGGTCACGGAGGGTGGTTCCCTTTGCCCCTCCCGTTGGCAAAGTCACAGGTGCATTGACTACGCCATCACGGCGGATCCCACTTTGCATCTTGAAGCATCCTATGAAGAGACGAAGCTTTCAGATCACAAGGCAGTTTGGGTTCGTGGCAAGGACGTCATGACAACATGCACTCAGAGGCTACAGTCTCTGGTTCGCACTCCGGCCTTTTTGAAGCCTACCTCGGTCACTACCTCGGCGTGGCGAAAGCTCATCGAGCAGCATTACGATTCTGCACCCATCCCAGTCGGTTCGACGGAGTCGGAGTGGAATGCTTTGTGTGCGAAAGCCTCTGATGCTTATTGCGCCGCTCTGCTGATTTGGATCACCACGTTTCCACGGTTGGCATGCGACCCAAAGGCTCGCTTCCTCGGACAAACGTCCAACAACCGGCCAAAGGATCGCCTGATGAACGCAGCCTGGCTCTTCGCGCTCACCTTGGTCGTTTGCTTGAAGTTCAACGTGGTCAGGCGCACGGTAGAGACACCGCTCTACTTGAGTTCAAGATGGAACGGTGTAGACCGTTCGGTATCCCTCCCGGTCATTCCGAGGAGACGAGGGAAACCGTCGAGGATATCATTGTTCGAGCAGAGACCCGCGAACGTCGTGATCGCATCGCACGTTGGAAAGACAAGCTTCTGCGTGGGGGCTCCGCTCTGCGAGCATGGCTCCATGGGCGACAGCTTGTTTTGCCTTCGCTGGTGACATGGGAGGAGAACGGCCAGCAACAGCAATCCTATGACATCGCTTCTGCCCTTGATGCGGTTGCTGGTTTCTGGCAGCAAGTGTGGAAAAGAGATGTTTCTCAGCCTTGCAATCGAGCTTCTGAACTGGCCGCGACGGCTCCTGCACGCCCTCCGGCGTCCTGGGCCCTTTCAGCTGAGGATTTGCAACGTGCCGCTCGCCGTAAATCTGCGGGCGCAGCAGGATTGGACGGATGGTCAGCCTTGGAGCTTGCAAACTTACCTTTGGCTCACTGGCACGACTTTCAACAACTCCTTCAACGCTGGTTACGTCGTGGTTCTTTTCCAGAGTGTTGGCGGAGAGCGCGCACAGTGTTCTTGCCAAAGACTTCAGCTGATGACCAAGGCGGCGTTGAGGTCGCGAAGATGCGGCCTATCACTGTACTGGCTGCTCATTACCGCATCGCGACGTCCTGCTTGACCCGTCAGCAAGACGTCAGGGATTGGATCATGGCACAGGTTCCCGACTACGTGCATGGAGGCCTGCAACACAGAGCCGCTACGGACGCGTTGGCAAGCATTGATGCTGGCTGGACTTCGGCGCCACACGCATGTTTGGTCACGCTGGACATGAAACAGGCGTTCGATCGGATGGTTCCTGCCTTGGCTATCGCAAATCTTCGACAACAAGGATTCGATCCTGCTTGGGCTTCCTTGTTATCTTGGGTTTGGGAAGGCCAACTTCGATATCTACAACTTGGTGGCATCATCAGTCCATGCCCGTTTTCAGTCAGCACCTCGACGCCGCAGGGCTGTCCTATGGCCCCTATAGCACTTGTGAGCTTGCTTGCTCCTCCGGCTCGGCAGGTGCAAGAGCAGATCAGTGATGCAGGACATCAATCAATCTTCTTGGACGACAGGACGGCAGTACTTCGTTCGCCGTCACACGTTTTGACTTTTGTCAATGCTTGGTCCACGCAGTGCAACATCAACGGTCTGCAAGAAAATATGGACAAACTTCGAGTGATGTGCAAAGTTGAGTCTGATGCAAGAATGCTTCTCAACGCGGGCTTTGACAACAGGTGTTTGGTTTCTGGCCTGAAGGTGCTCGGCACCGCTTTCGGCATTTTGCCTGATGAAAAGCTTGAGTGCGCGACCAAGGCGCTGGATCAGCTACGGCTTCTTCCTGGGCCGCAAGTGTACAGAGATGGTTTCTTCCGCACTCGCATCGTTCCCCTTTTACCGTGGGGCCGCTGGTGGCAACAAGTCCCTTCTGAGTTGGGGGAAACTTGGACTTCCAAGATCAAGCGAGCTCTTCGTGTACAGCATGTGTCCTCAAGAGGATTATGGAAAGCTCTCGCCGGTCATTGGACGGATGCTAACATGGTGGTCTGGCAATCGTCCATCCGGGCATGGTCAGCTGCTGCTAGATACTGGGACTCTCATGGCGCTTTCCAGTTTATCAATCGCGGCCGTTGGGCGCAAAAAGTCCAACAGGACCTCATTGACAGAGGCTTCACTCGTTCACCTCGTGGCCTTGAGCATCCTAGCGGAGTAATCTTTCCCCTAGATCGGCCAGCATCGCGTGCTGAAGTGGAATCCACCCTTCACTGCGGAAGGGAGCATTGGAGGCAGAAGAATCTTCAGGATTTCTTCGCATCCAACAGACGCGAGGCTGTTGAGATCTCGCATGCCGGGGCTGGGTATCACAAACAGCAGCTCCGACAGGCACGTCGTCTCTACGATAAAGCTAGTGTCGAAGAGCGGGGAGTCATGCTTGGAGCTTCCTTCTCTCTGTGTGCATACGACAAGATTCGAAAGAATCTCCCGAAGCAGCAACACTCCACGCTGGACAGCTGCCCTTTTTGCAGTGTGCAGGTGCCTCCAGGGTGGCACCACTTAGCATGGCAGTGTAAGCATTTCGAGTCTCAACGCACGTCGATGCCTCATGACGCCTGGAGTGCCCGCTTGGGTTGGCCACAGCCAGGGGAGTCAACAGCTTGTGCTAAAGGAAGATTACAGTTTCTGGCCTCTATTCGTGCTGCATGCCGTGAGGTCGGCGGTTTCCTTCCTGACGTTTGATTTGGTTTTTCAGTGCATGCGGCTGCTCAAGTCCTCGTGAGCAATCTCGGAGGCTTGTGTGGCAGAACCCTTTTCACTTTCAATACGAGCACGACCATGAAATTGCGGCTTTGAAGAACGCTCTGCCGGGCGAGGGGGACCCTAACGCAGCAGGCGTTGCCCAGAGCAACGACAAGATGCTCTCCGTTCAGAAGAACAACGAGAACAGAAGCCTGAAGACCAACCGGCTCTTCCCCACCCCGAACAAGCCAGATCCCATGCCGCAGAATCTAGCATTCCTCTTCACGAAGATCACGCCGGAGCAAATGATCTATATGTGGAATGTACTTACGGCAATTTTCTTCACCCAAGTGTTGATGGTGCGCCGACTACAAAGGCGAGGCACCAGTGGCTACAAGTTTTGGGACATATGTCTGATGTACACCCATGCAACTCGCCGGGGACACCCGGATCCGTGAACAACACCTCTGCCACCGGTGGAAAAAGTGAACGCGACACTCTGAAGCCACCTAACTTACCTTTTAATTTGTGTTGAGGGGCACCCGCTCATTTCCATGAACCCTAGAATGGTGTGCCAACAGCTTGCATAAGACTTGCATGGCCGTTAATTCAAGCACGTTTTTCCCCTCGTACACACAGCCTTTTACATACCAGATTCTTAACAGTGCCGGTGCGAGCAAACAAACACCCCATACGGGGAACACAGTTTCGGAGCACCCTTTGCTATGTAAGTCAGTCCTGTATAGACCGAGCCCATCCTTTCCAAATGATGGATGGGGTAGCGCACTCGCGCGGGACGGGGGGACTGCTCCCGTCTCAAACCCCGAGCAAAGCAAAGCAAAGAAAGAGAGAAAGAGAGAAAGAGTGTCACAGGCGTTTCCTTTAGGTGTTTGCTGTTGGGGTACAATTGTGTTGTGAACAGTAGTGAACACTTGGGGCACCCACGTTTCCTAGCAGACAGACCCCCGCACGGGGGGACACTTTGCTCTTTTCCCTCCCAAAGCCCATCCGAACAAAATGTTGGATGGGGCTGCGCGAACGCGCGCGCTGCAAGCTTGCAGCTCTTACCCCTGAGCAAAGCAAGGCAAAACAGAGAGAGAAAGAGAGAGGGAAACGAGGGGGGAGGTTGCAACCGTTTTGTTGTGAGTGGTGCGCTCAAGCAGCTGCGACGCCAAGCACAAGACGCACCATCGGGCGGGGGGGCCCGCGCTTTATGGAAGCAGGTCCACAAACAACGCAAGCAGCAGCGGAGATCCTGGAAGCACAACAGGCGACCCTTGCTGCAACCCTTGATTGGAGAGCAATGCGATCCTTGCATCACGCCAAAACCCGTAAGGGCTGGCACTTGGAACTACAAGACAATGGCCAGCGGCAACAAGAAGTCAGCAAACATATGCAAAGCATTTTTGCGAAGCCTTGACCAGTCAACAGCACAGCCAGAGTCTTGGACCTACGAAGATGAGGGGGGAATGCAAGCTTACAACGTGGCACCCTTTCCAGCGCCAAGAGCTGGAGCACACATTAGCCACGTGGGCCAAGAACAAAAGCACAGGGCCCGATGGAATTTCCCATGAAGCAGCCAAAGCGCTCCTTGCAGATCCGTACTGGGGGGACAAGATCCTTTACACCCTCAATGCGATTTTCTACGTGGCGAAAGTTTCTGAAAGTGTTGACAGAGACATCACGGTGCTCCTCCCAAAAATCCCCCAGCCATTGCAATGGGGGGATACCCGACCCATCACGCTCAGTTCCTAGCGCAATTATTGCTTGCCAGAGGGGGGGACCTTTTGCGATCAGGAGCCTTCCTTCAATGGGCACGTAAAGGCAGACAGGGGGTGGAACTCGTTGCCATCATCCGACGCGTGGCACGCGACTGGGGGGTGTGGATGTGGCTGGTCAAATTGGACATACGCAAGGCCTTTGACAGCGTCTGGCAACATAGCATGAGCGAACTGGTGGCTGCAAGAGTCGGGGGGGTTCCATCCACGCGGTGTCCAGTCTCACATGATGGCGGCGGCATGCCATGGGACGCACTCCTTTGGCTAAGCATTCTCCACACCCGCACACTTAACATCGCGGTGGGGGACACCATCGCTCCCATACCACAAGCCAACGGGATCCGACAAGGGTCACCTGACCTGTTCGGAGCCATTGTGGCGCGAGACCTCCAGAAGGCAGTCGAAACAGCGGGGGAACAACCTCCCGACCCAAAAGGGGGACCACCACCACACAGGACAGGAGGATCCTTCCTCGATGACACCTACCTGTGGAGCCAGGACCGAGACCACCTTCAACGAACTCTCTGTTCTCTGGAGAAAGAACTTGAAGAAGACGGCCTCAAAACACATCCCACGAAGACAGCCATCCTCTACAGCAAACCGACGGGAGGGGGAACCTTTACTATCGGGGGGGAGGTGGTTGCATGCGCCCCACACAAAGCAGTCATCGCGACACTCGGGTCTCCCATCACATTTGGGGAGCAAACAGCAGCTCTGATTGCGGAAATGAGCTGCAGAGGCCGACACGCCTTCGCCAAACACAAAAAAATCCTAATGGCGCGAACTCACATCAACACCCGTTGGGCTGCATACACCACACTAGTGCGGAACTCGGCCCTTTACGCATCCGAGACATGGCCAGCGCAACACAGACTTCTTAAGGCAGCCAACTCACTGCAGATGCAACACCTGAGGGGGATGTTCTTCCTACATCGCCGACCTACCGAGCAATGGGCCGCGTGGCACACAAGAAGCCTGCGAACAGCGGATCCACCTTCACCGCATGGGGGGGAAAGGTGGTCCACCTCGCATCTGGACACTCTGGGGACACATGGCTCGAGGAGGGGAAGAGGTCAATGCCATGGTCACTTGGAAAAACATGGCTTTTCGGCGCGAGCAACAAAATAAGCCCCGCAAACATCGTGTAACGCACGTTGGCCATTTCAACCCGGAATCTGATGTCGAGCGGGCCATCGAAGCTATTGCTGGAACGCATTGGGGGGAGGTGGCACAAGACCGCAAGAAATGGCAGGACTTGACACCAGCCTTTACAGCCAGGTTTGATGTGCCGTGGGCTACCGGCAAGCAACAAGCAATCCAGGACAACCTCCTCCACCGACCACCGCCACACTCACAGCCTAATGACGACCAGTTCGGAAAACACTGTGTAATGGACAGCACATGGGGGGAGCTGCGACTTGTGTCCCTTGGGGGGAGCACAACACCACACTTGCAACCTTTGGAACCACCACCACCACATAGCACACTAAGCACCGAGAGCGACCGCCACAAGAAGAACCACACAGACACTATGCACAGAGAGTCGTTACGTCATGCATGCCTGCACAGTTGAGCTGTCTTTCTGTACCAGGCAGTTGCAAACTGATGGCAACGGCCTGCAGCTCTCGCCTCGAGAAGGGAGGTCGGGGGAGTCAAGACGATCTGCGAAGCCATGACAGACGAAGCAGATGAACAGAGTTATATCTGCAACAGTGGCAATTTGGGGCGCCACACTCCGCACGGGCTAGCCCCTGGCTGCAAGTACTACGGGGTGCCTCCGGAGCTGGGGGAAGCACAAAGTGCTGAGCTGATCGACCGCTTGGCGGACTTTGGCTGCGAGACAATCATGATGCTGAAGTTGTTTGGGGGGGCCACGCGCAGATACATACAATGGAGCAATTGGCCGAGGCACCGCTTACTGCGAAGGACCTCCACACGACGTGCAGACTTCGCTTCCAAAAAGAACTCAAACTCCCGTCTCCACAGCTCCGGACGGGGAGGAGCGGGGGGATGCAGCCGGCGCCAGTGCCACCTACGCCCCCTACCTCTCCAACTGACCATTCGCAGAGCAGTGTGGGCCAAGCTTTGCCCACTACACCTCCTTCCTCGTCAACCGTCCAAGGAACACCGCCGCCTCTACAAGCTAGAGTCCATGAGGGGGACGCCAAAGTCAACGACGGTCAGGACAGTAGACTGGAATGACCCCGCGGGGGAGATGGTGCCAGTTTCTCCGGACTGCTTGGAATCTGGCAGTGAGCGGGATCTTCAGTGGGTGGGCGACAACAGACAGCCACTCACACCACCACTGTCGGATGAAGAGACAATGACCTCGGACAATTGTGACGCCGCCCAGCGAGAGTCTGCCCCATCAACTGGGCCTCCAGGGGAACCAGCCACTGAGGAACATGCAGCAGAGCAGCTCTATGCCAGAGTCTTACAGGATATTGACGACGAGGCGGGAGAGGTCGCCGTCGAGCAGGACGACTACAGTTGCAGAGCACGGGGAGACCGCCCAGGGGGAACGCTACGCCATGAAGCTCCGCGAGAAAAAGGCCCAGCAGTTTGTAGTGACGGGGAAAAGCAGCTCCCACCAAGCGCGGAGCCTCCGTGTCACCAAGCCCAACCGCGCAGTCGGGGGGGACATGACACCCACGACCTCGACAGGGGGAGGACCGAGCATCTCCCAAGCAGTGCTGCGTGTCGCAAGAGAGGCGGATGCAGCTTACCGATTGAGCGGGGAGGCCTCGTCTTCTACCAGAACGCACCCCACTGGTGCTGCGCCAGACAAGCCTCCACTGAAACGCAAGCAGCAGGGAGAGCAGTGAGGGGGAAGCTGAGCAGCCTTGAGTGCCTGTCCTAAAGGGACAATGTCGCTGGGGGGAGCACGCGTCACTCCTAGAGTACTCTTTCTTTTGTAGCCGTCGTTTTTCGCATGCTGTGTGCCAGGACCTCAGTGTTTTTCTCACCATCGTTACATCTATGTTACGTTGAATAAGTGCTAACATGCTGCAATTGGGGGGAGTGGGCAGGTTACTGTTCCATGTGCGGTCTGGGGGGACTGTTGTTCTTGAGCTTCGCTGATGCTAGAGCTGCCCTCAAAACCCGCGTTTGCAGAGTAGGATCGATAGATACCTACAGTTGTCTGCTTGCCAAATACGTGTCGCCCTTGCACAATTCACTTGTTTCCGTACCTGACCAGGAGTTGTTTCTAGAAAACTGGCGGGGGACGAACTTTCGTTGACGCTCGTGCAGCCGAGCCCTCCCGCGGAAACAATCCCGGGGGAGAGTCGTTCCCGCCAAGAGCTGCGGGTGTGCGGACCGCACGGGGAAGAGGCCAGGACGCTGCCTCCAACCGCGTAGCCATTTTGGCTCAAGTGTCCGCACCTTTGTCTTGGGGGGCTGTCACCCTCCTTGGCCCGGGGGGGAGGCACAGGGTTGGCCTGAGGTTGTTCCATCAGGAGAGCCTTTGTGCTTTTCCCAGCGGCGCTTGAGTCGCATATCCGCCGCTGTTTTGCTTAATTAAGAGGCCCTTTTCCAAACGCTTCTTCCGGAACCTGACCGCGGCCCCTCTCTGAGGATGGCCCGCCAGTAGGGGGAAGGAGCATACTACCGCGTCGCGGACCACACAGTCACCTAGCTGGACTACGTCAACCTTACTCCATCGATGGCGAGCTCATCTAACCCCAATCCGGAAAAAAGGGCAAACGCCCAAAAGCAGGAAAAGGGGAAGGGGATGAAGACCTTCCAACGTGATCCTCTGGCAAGGGCTAAGAAAGCCAAGAAGGAGGGGAAGACGCAGAAGAAAAAACCAAGAAGGACAACAGCAAGAAGGGCGACTACCGGGACAAGAAGAACTGAGCGGGGGAGTGTACTTCTAACCTTGACTGCAGGCCTTGTAGAGGGCATACGTACCAAAAGGACCAGTGAGACCAGGCAGCCCCCAAAGGCATAGACAAATTCCAGGTGTTTGGTCGATGATATCTCAGGGGGGTGAACTCTTTAAACGGCTGAGGCACAACCCTCAGCCTTCTCGGGCAAACTCACTCAACTTGTGGGCTCTCTGGGCCCCTAATCCTGGTTTCTTTTTAACACACCCACTGAGATGCCGACAAAGTGAATTCGGGGGATGAAGGCCTCAAATTCGATTCCACTCTTTCTTTGGGCGACGAATGTATTTCCCGCTAAAAGCGGGGGCAAGCCTTTTCCTTGGCTGCCACGAGGCGGGTCATCGAGTTGCTTGTTGTGGGGGGAGGGATTTCATGCTGTTTTACTTGCGGGGGAATCTCGATGACTTACCCTCTTCTCCTTGAACCTCAGTACAGCCGAGCCCGCTGGGACAAACACCCAGTGAGATGCAAGGGATACCCCGCGAAGTGTGCGTGCGCGCACGGGGGGAGGGCCCTGAACGCTGGCCCGACCTCCAAGCCCGGAAGAGAGAGAGAGAGAGAGAGAGAGAGAGAGCGAGAGCGAGAGAGCGAGAGAGAGAGAGAGAGACAGAGGGAAACGAGACGGAGACAGTCAGAGACAGAAGGGAAGACACAGACCGACAGACGGATAGACGCACAGACGGACAGACGAGAGAGAGAGGGCAAGAGAAAACAGCAATTGTGACCTGAGTTCTGAATCATTTTCGGTGTGATTCTCAAAACTCTTCTGGAAGTCTGGGAGTGGTTTCCAGGCAAGACCTGTCTGAATGCAATTGTCGCGTTGATGCAAACCGACCTCGGTCACTTCTCCCATGTGCAGCGATTAAGAGAACAGGGGTATCGCAAAGTTTATCCGCAAGTTCTGTGCCGCTCATCACGGATCTCGAAGAGATGGTCAGTCAATAAATCCCAACTGAGTCCTGTATAGTGCCGTTATGATTTTGTCCCCCATGTGGCGGCTCCGGTTGCCGCAAACTCGAAACTTACGGAGCTCTCAAAGTGTTGTGCGGTCTGAGTTGTTCGTGTCTTCCTGCAGCCGAACGCCAGTGACTGAACGGCATTGACAACAGTTGCTTTCGTTATAAACTATTCGCATACCTGCTGCATTCATTTCGCGGGCTTCCAATGCTGATCTTCGTGCTCGCCGCTCGCTGTGCAGCCCGTGATATGCTGTTGCAGTGCAAAAGTGCCAACATCAACAACTTCTTGCAAAAGTCCAGAGATGCCCAAAGGCCCGCGGGACCCTTTGCTCCCTTTTACGCTTCATCCTTGCAACGCGACTGGAGCCTGCAACATCTTACAACCAGCCAATTCATCAGAAGGCTTAGGAAACGGAAACGCGAATTTTAGAGTGAACTTGGAACGACGGCTTTGAACTTTTTGTCTTGGATGGTCGCTGTTAAGACGCCAGATGCCAGACTCGTACATGACGCCACTGTCTGCCCTCAATCGGCGTGCTGGGCCTTCCCTGTCCATGCGTCGCCTGGCGTATGATGGGTGTGTTCTGTCGTAATGGTTGAAACTTGCAGAAAAAGCGAGCCCATGCCGGAAGCTGCTGCTGGCAGGTCTTCGGTTTATGGCGGCGGGGCGCCGAGGTCGCCCGCAGGGTCCGGCACAGCGAGGAGCACCGCGCGGAGCCGGTGGCCCAGAGCAGAGGCGAAGAGATGCGAAGAGAGGAGCAACACATCAAAGCTAGCATTACACATATAATCAGCCGTGTGAGCAGGGCGCAAGAGTCATCATAAGTCTGTCATGAAGCAGCTACTTTCTTTGGTGGTTTCAGGAGCGTAGCAAGAAAACGCGATTGAGCAGTGGAACATGGTTATTGCCCGTAGATAGTCCAACACACCAGCAAACTCTGTAGACAGAATACTGACATGCGTGCATGGCATAGCCGCCAATCTATCCATCTATCAATTGATCCAAACCATCTATCTCTCTGTCCTTCTTTATTCATGCCGCGTCTATGTACGGAAGCTCTGTGCACACGCATATACATATAAGTAGTAACCACTCGTCTACTTGAAGTATGCAGTGATGTAGCGCGGCAGTGGCAGCACTATCAGAATACGTCGGTTTAACGACAAGAGGGCACCAGCATGACCAGGCAAGATGCGAAATCGTTCCGAGGGCAGTCATGATGAGTCATGTCAGGATGATCTGGTACAGGGGCCAAGGGTTGCAGCGACGTAATCATGTTGCCGAAGTGATGGAGCTCCGTCGTTTGTGCTCAGCACGGCACGGGCAAAGCATGCATGCCTGAAGGCATGAGGCAGGGCTCGAAGGTTCTGATCTGTTGCCTCACTTGTGCGGCCCGCGCCCTCAACGATGGCCTGGAGAGTCCGAGGGAGAGGCTGAGCTGCCGAGGCCTTTCACGTGTTGTCAACAGAGGGCAACCCGTGCCGCTCCGGAGGCTGAGGCGGGATGGCAGCTGCCATCGCCGCTGCAGTTGCCGACTCAGTGCAAGTGCTTCCGCCAGCGAAAGCTCGGGTGGCTGCTTTCGAATCAGAGGTTCGCCGTCGCGACCGCGACGCTGCTGAGAACGACTCTCCCAAGTCGGAGGCCTCCCTGCCGGCCGCGGCGGCCGCGGCGGCCCTGAAGAAGTCCAAGTCCCAGGCGCACGTGGCGAGTTTCCGGAGGCTATGTCTCAGTGGTGTGCGAACGCTCGTGCAGGCAGCGCTGGACTTGCCGCCGTACGGCAGTGGCAAATGAGTTGCAGCCAGTCTCTGTCAATCTCATCTTCCTGGTCCTGTCGCTCCGTGCGAGGCTTCTGGAGGTACCAGCGACAATCTGCCGTTGCGTGCCCCTCCGGTTTCACCAAATTAAGTTAAAGCTTAAATCATGTCGCCACATCTTTGCTGCTTCAATCAAGTTAGCACCAGGTACACTGGCTTGCGAGTACAACTCACCGTGGCGGCATTGATTGCTGGCAACTTTCTTATGAACGTCATCGAGCTCTCCGTCCTTACTTTGATGAATGGCTCTCTTAGCGCTAAACTAGTCTTGATTGCTCAGAAATGTTTGTTTTAGGAAGTGGATCGATCCTGATGGTGACACCTATCCGGATCTTTGGGCCGCTCCGGTTGACATCGTAGTCAAGGCAGTATGAGTCTGAGTCCAAGCCCACGAAAATTCAGGTTGGCGCCGACATTTTTTTCAATGTGCCTTAGCTCCACAGCCCAGGGCCAGGGGCCAGAAGTTTGGGTGGAGTCCGCGACCCAGCGATCCTTGTTGCGCCATTCAGATTGATGCAGGTGAGCTTCGCCATCGAGCTCGTTTGGAACATGTACTCCTTCTGGCTATGGCGTTTCTGGAAGCTCGTCAGACCACTGATGGCACCTGCCGCAAGCCTCTGGCAGCCTACAGCCGAAAGACTGCAACATCGCACTGAAATAATCTCTTCAAGCTGTCACATCATGCGGTGTAGGCTGGTGTATCCCTCGCTGATGCCTGCAGAGGAAGTCAGCCTGGAACGTCTTTGACGTTATCGTGGTCACCATCGGACCCCGCGGCAGAGGGCTACCGGCTACGGCGGCTACCGGCTAGCGAAGGGTATACCGAGGTCATCTGAGGTCCGAGGTTGGCGCCTTCAAAGAAGCGCGCGAATCGCGAGTTGGGACGGGCGGCCCGGGAGGACTCATGAACCTAGTGCTGCCCAACCTGCCCGGTCCTTTGAGCCTCCTCCGCCGGCGGCCCAGAACCAGAACCCAAAACAGGAGTCCCCTTGCACGTTCTCGCCCCTTCTGCGTCGCCTGTGCAGGCATGATGAGGGCTTCCCGGACTGCAAGCAGTGCTAGGTTGGTGCAGCCTAGCCTCCTTGGCCGTTGAGGCTTTCCGCGTTTTCCGACTCTTCAAGCGTGTGGAGCCACTTGGAGCTCAAAAAATTCCCCCCCCCCCCCCGCTTCTATCCTCGTTCGCCCTCGGCTCGGCCCGGCTCCGTTCTATCCGAGGTCGCTGCACAAGATCATCAAGTCCTTGTCGAGAGCCGTGCCCGGAGTGGCCAACGCGCCCCCTGGCCGCGACGACTGTGCCTGTGCTCTGCGCCAAGAGTCAAGCAGAGCCTCGTGTGAAGCAGCCAGGTTTCTCATTCTCCTCCTGGTGATGTCCATATATGCGATTCTAGGCATGGGGCACCAGAGCAGTGGAGCGTGCAGTTTAGTGTCTGGTGTCCGTCCTGTGTGGACATGTCAGCAAGTGTGTTAGTTGGCTGGCGATGCCACCGGTCTTCCTGGCACATGACCTGGGCTCGTTGATGCGTTGATATGTCTTAGAGGCATTCTGTCTCGGTCTCACCGGCAGCTTGGACTCTTTTGGAGGTGTGGAGTTCTTCGGGACATATGCCAACGGTGGTAACTACACCAACGAGTGCCGCGACGCACATCATGCTTCGATTCCTTGCCAAGCGTGTAAGATGACCTTCGTGCTCTTCATGAGGTTTGATGAAGTTGTGGAGATCATCACCGCCAGAGATGCTGGTTTTGAAGTGGTACCTGCCTCCGAAGCTTGACAAAGCACTGCAAGAGCTCTGAGGAACTGCAGTTCGGTGATGAGAACTTCGGAAACTTCCATCGATCCCTCTTCACCATGTTCCAGGTCCTCACAGGCAATGCGACAAGGGCACGGGGGGGGGCACTCCCTCGCTCTTTCTTTTTTGCGTGAAGGCGAGTCATGGTCAGAGGTGATCACTCGGCCGATGTTGCACACCACGGATTTCACGCAGGCGCTCGAAGCGTCTATGCGGAGAGAGAGAGAGAGAGAGAGAGAGAGAGAGAGAGAGAGAGAGAGAGAGAGAGAGAGCCGAGAGAGCTCTTGCCACTGTAGCGGCTGTCACGGCACGGCAGGCAGCGGGCCCCTTGGCTAAGGAGCCGCAGGAAGCTCTTCGCCGAAACATCCGGGGTCAACTTTCCTAAGGCGTTTCCTTGTTCTTCGTCTCCTTCAACTTGGTCAACGGCTCCACGGCCTTTCTGTGAGTTCTGGCGGTGTATCCTTCTTCGGAAATGCATTGACGTTGCGCTTGGCGCTTGCACCTACTTCACGAAACGCAGTGACCGCGAGCCTGTTTGCAAGTGGTGGGTCTTGTCGAAGACCCCGGCCCATATCCCCACAATGGCTGTTTCTGCGCGTGGGGAGAGGTGCCGTGTCTAAGGTGTTGTATTGATAAACGTGGTGATCGCAGTATTGCTGGAGAAAATGGTCGATGACGAGGTGCACGTTTGAGTTTGTTACAGAGCCGCGAAGACCTGTTGGACAAAGAGCCGTGTGCGCCCGCTCCGGTCAGAAGCAAGACGCGCCCGCAGCTGAAGGAGATCAGGAGGCAGGAAGCTCAAGAAGCACGTAGTAGGCACAAGCCGCCCTGGCCAAAGGCATCTGAAAGCCTTCCCTTCGAGCAGAACGGCTTCCATATGGACTTTCATGGCCGCTCACAGCACTAAGAGCTTGAGTGGACTTGTGATGCTGCAGCGTAAGCCGTTACAAGGTCCGCCGAAGGACCCCTGCAAGGCGGGTGTGGGTTGGGGGACTTCGGAGTGACAGGCCAAAATCGGCGATTTGAAGGTTCAAGCTGCAGAAGGTCCCCGGGGAGCTGCAGCTCTGAGGGACATGGACTGTGCCAGGACCTCGGGAGCGCCGTCGCCTTGGCCACTGGCCATGGAGTTCTGCAACCTCAGTCCTTAATGTTGAAGCCGTCCAAGCCCTGCTTACCAGATATACCCGTGAGACTTTTCAGGTCGACAAGTTGCCTGAGAAAGCGGCTGCGGGAGCGGAGCATGCGGTTGGCGGTCGTGGACTCTTGAAGGGTGGAGGCCAGCTGCAAGTGTCAGCAGCCAGTGCACGAGCTCCGGGGCTCTGCAGGCGATCCAAGAAAGGCCGAGGTTCACGCAAAGTGCTCCGCCAAAAAGCCCATTAGCTCTGTGTGACAGTCAGCAGGCCGCGGAGGATGCGATGGGGCCAACCAAGGCACCTCTTTCAATCAGAGAGCTGTGGAAAAGAGATCTGGAATCTGGAAGATTGGTTGCGGAGGCAAGCATGCACCAGAGCAGTATCGCAGCCATGGAAGCAGACTTCCAGTGTCTGCGCCTTAAAGAAACTCAATCCTGAACTGAACCCAAACCTTCCTACTCTTAGAGAGCTGGCTTTTTCCAGCCAGCGATCTCAGGCTTGAAGAAGGACATGCAGCTTGGGCCCGCACTCTACAAATAAGAAGAGGTTTGCGGCTTGCTACGTTACTGCTTGGAGCCTCCCAAAACAGAGAAACGTAGAGAAAGAAAGAACGAGAGGCTCTGCTAGCGCGGTTAGGCGGAGTTCGGAGCCGAGGTCCAAGATGAAGATGCAAATGGAGCTTTTGATGAAGGCGAGGGGAACTTCCATCTGTCGGACGTATAGTGCTCCTTGCACGGAGGTCTTCCAGTGCCAGAAGTAGTACAGGAGAAGTACCCTTGGAAAGCACAGAGTCAGTCTCATGTTTGAGGGCCTTTCTGCCAAGCAGAGGCTTGCCCTCAGGCTTAGGGCTGTTGCCAGTTACTGGCACAGTGATTCGTCGAGTGCTGCCCCTACCCGGGGCCGCGCGTGTTAATGATGCGCAATGGAGCTGGGTGAGTCCTCTGCCCAGCTCTGCGAGTAAATGAGGCCTCGGAACTCGGAACTCGTTTCCCTCCAGGTCTAACCAAGAGTCTTGTTCGCTCAGCAACGAAAAAGAAGCCATGGAAATTGAATGGGCCACACCCCCTGGCCCTGGCGCCTACCAGCTTTTGGATGAAGGTGTTCTCTTTGCTGTGTGGCCGAGGCTCCATGGGCAGAGGGCCTCGCTGCTGGAACTCGAGGAGACTCGGCAGGGGGGGGGGCCGGACGTTCGCAGTTCTCAGTTCTTCTCCACTCTGGGTCCCCCGCCCAAGTGGGGCGAGGAGTGCGTGGAGCGCTTGCACGGCCGGCGCGTGGACATTGATGCGCTCCTCCAGGCGGAGCGACACCGCGTGCAGGCAAAGAGGGCTTAAGAGGGCCACAGCAGGGGAGGGCCGACGGGCCGACGGGCTTCCCGCAGGAGCTGGAGACTGAACTCAGCCGGGGCCCAACGGATCCCCCACGTTCTTTGGAGAACACGGGCTGGCACGGTCGTGCTCAGGCTGCTGCAAGGAGCAAGTGAAGGAGCTTCAGCGGACTCTGAAGGACCCGTACCGAAATCCTTAGCTCAGATCCTCTGCTTGACCATACTAGGTCAATTTGTTTTGAATGACTTTCCGCAATGCATGTTTGGTGGGCCAGCACTTGGGGGAAAGCATGCGTGAAAATATTCTGGTCCTGGTGGTCTCCTCGCAGTCGCCTGGGGTTTCTGGGGTCTCCTGATGATTTCTTGCGGGCTCCTGCATAGTCCTGGTGGTGGTAGTTGTCGTGGTGATCCCGGGAGTCCTATTGGTCCTGGTTTCCATGGTCGTTGTGGAGCAACGGGTGACTGTTTGGGATCTACGCTGGCATAAAAGCCCGTTAGTTGACAGGTAGCCGTTCCTAACGTAAGATAAATAATTGCAACTATGGTTGTGTTTGTTGTGGATGAGTGCATGGCAATGTTACATTCTCAAGTAGTATATCTTTGCACATGTACAAGGTAGTTGTTTGCATGTCGCCGTTGCTGTTGCCGCTGTTGTCGCTGTTGTTGTTATTGTTGTCGGTACAGACAAAAGCAGCAGCCCGTAACTTGTGTTAACTAGCCACGATTGGGAATGCTTCCGGCGACTGCATAGGGTGCCTGCAGAGTTTGGGGATCGTCAAGCCACGGTTTACACAGCATCTGCCCCACGATGGAAATGCGGTTTAGGCTGGGGAGTCAAAGCAACACGCGGGGCTCCGGTTTTGTTTGTAGCAGCAGGCAGAGACCAACGCCTTTGTCTCTACCTGGTGCTGGTAGAGACAAAAGCTGGTCTTCCGTCAGGTTTTGGACAAGATTCAGTGGTATGCTGTTATCATGGGCTTCTGCAGGTTGAGGGGTGAAATGGTGTTTTGCAAGGGTTGGTCTGGGAGTTTCAGGGTTTTCATTGGATATCGAACGGTTCGTGTTGCAGTGTTTTATGTGCTGTCGAAGGGCGACAGCGAGATGTTGAATGGCTTTAGTGGGATTCGGAAAGGTTTCAATGGGATTTTGAAGGGTGGGGTTGGAAGGGTTTTGATGGTGTTTAGGACGTTTAGGATGGATGTAAACGGTATTTGGAAGGGGATCTAGAAGAAGGGGAGGGAAAGGGGAAGGAGCCCTGTAGTTCCCTGTGCTGTGGGTTATCCTTCCCCACCCCGTCTCTGTGGTTCCCTGTCTTGTAGTTCCATGCGTTGTGGGTGATCCCTCCCGCCACCCCGTTTGCTGAGGCGAGATGCCTGGCTGGGGGAGCGAGGGGGGGAGGGATACTGTGGGGAACGTCGGCAGTCACGCGGATAACGAGTGACTGCTTGTTGGGACGAGAGGCCTGGCTGGGGGCATTCTATGGGGGTTGGGGGGGGGGGGGCGGGCGACGCGGCGAAGCGGCACGATATATGGGTTGACGAGGCTGCAGTTTTGTTTGTACCTTGCTTGTCCTTGTTGCTGCTGCTGCTGGTGTTGTTGTTACTGTTATTGTTCTCGTTGTTCTTGTTGTTCTACTTGTTGTTGCTGCACCGTGTTCCTGTTGTGCGGAGGCCTTCTGAACCTCTCAGTGTTTGTCCGGATACGGGACAGCCGCAGCCGGAAATCCCGCGTGGAGATGGGACGAAGTCTCACGTGCACGTCGGCCCACCGTCGTACGAGGCAACACAGCGTGGATCGGTCAAAGGAGCAAGTAGCAACGACACTAGTTCAGACATGCTTTGGTCACAAAGTCAGTTTCACAGTTAGTGAGTGCTGAGGTAATACGCACACCCCATGCATGGAGCCTGACAGCGTTGAATTGTAAGGCTGTTGTTGTTGTTGTGGTGGTGGTGGTGGTTGCTGTTGCTGTTGTTGTTGTTCTTCTTATTCTGTTGTTGTTGTTGCTGTTCTTGTTGCTGCTGCTGCTGTTGCAGTTGTTGCTGTTGTTGCTGTTGTTGTTGCTGCTGTTGCTGGTGTTGTTGCTGTTGCTGCTGTAGTTGTTGTAAGCCTCTCGGCTCAGGAAAGGTCAGGCTAGTACAGTTGCCTTTTTCCTTTCTTGCCATGGCATTTGTCAGCGCCTGAGCAGTCCCGGTCCCAAGTCCGGGAGGGAGTATTAGATTTACAGCTCTCTAACATGTCCCAGAGGTGAGGGTTGTCGGTATTGCGAAGCCGACAGGAGCAGTACTCAACATGAGTGCTGCGAAACAGCCTAGTGGTTCGACCAAGCATCAGCCCGTTCCTAAAGGGAAGGGTAAACGCTCTTTTCAAAGGGCAGCACGTAAAGCTCTGCTTGAAGGTAGTGCGGTCTACAAGGGAAGGACGATGTCGTCAACAGAGCTTGGAGTTGCTCCGGCACATGAAAAGCCCACCAATCCCGGCAGAAGGACTCGGCCTTCGAAATTTACAGAAGATAAGAATCTCAGCTATCAATCCTGGAACGCAGGATCTCTCACAACAGCAGTTTGGGAAGAGTTACTCTCCGTACTGCAAAGTGCCGCATTTCAGGATGTGAAGCTGGTAGCAATTCAGGAAACACACTGGAGGGGCTCATGGCAATTCAGCAAGTCAGGCTGGCACGTGACCAGCTCTGGTTCCACAGGGGAGAAGGGAGCCGGGAGCAGGGGTCCTCATAATGGTGCACTCCACGCTGTGCAAGTCACAGGATCTTCGCTACAACGAGGTTGTTCCAGGAAGAGTTCTCCAGGTCCGGATGCCGAGCAACGGCATCTCACTGGACGTCTTCAGCTGCTATCAATACGCTTGGCGCTCTAAGGAGACAGTCGCTCAGAATAAGGAAACCCGGAAGCAGACCCTTCACGCCCTAAGTAAGTCCATCCGAGCTGTTCCCAATCGCAACACTCTCCTTGTGCTAGGAGATTTTAACTCCTCGCTCAAAACCGACAACAAACACGTAGGGCCATGCACGATCCAGGCTTGCAGACTCGGGCATCGCGGATCTAAGGATCTCCAGACCCTACTGTCGGAGCACCAGCTAGTCGCAACCAACACTTGGGGAGTGCATAGACCAGCCACCCACGAACAAGGCAACTCTGTTTCACAGATTGACTTCTCGTTTGTCAGGATTGCACAGTCCCAAGGCCCCGCCAGGTTTTGCCGGCCACTAAGGACCTTCCCAGTTGCATCCTGGAGGGATGGTAGTAGGCATTTCCCCCTTCTTGGTAAACTGAGGCACAGCAGGAGATACTCCGCCCAAGCCTCAAAACCCTATGACCAGCAGGCAATGGAGGACTGCTACAGACACCGTTCCCCGAAAATACAGGCATTTGCCAGGGAGGTAGACTCCCTCCTTCAGGATCATCCCCAAACCTGGCAGAGTCTCCATCAAGCAATGAACTCAGCCCTCGCGACTCACTTTCCCAAGAGAAAGGAAGCAGCACAAAGATCAGATCTCAGCATCTGGGAAGAGCGCTCTGTGTTGCGCTCACTCCCACTAGCAGTCAAGGTCTTAGCAGAGTTCTTGCCCGGGCTGCAGGTCCGTATGGTGTTCCGATGCTGGTGCTCGTTCTCCCAGCAAAGTGCACAGGCGAGGGTAGCAAAGCGTCACAAGCAGGAGCGGCGGCGGCAGGAAATAGATGAACAACTCCAGCAGGCAGAGCTTAAGTCCAAGCAAGACGGGAGTCATTCCCTTTACAAGGTAATCAAGCGCTTCAGGTCGGGGAGGCCCCCATTGCAACCAAGCCGGTTAGCTTTCAAGCTAGTGCCGAAATCATAACGCCGCATAAGACTCTGAAGACACATTCGCTTCCCACTTCACAGCTTGCAGCCCTGAGGGGCGGAGCGTGTGCAAGTGCAGCGCTGAGGCACGGCTTGCCGTGAAGAGTGACCGCGCAAGTAGTAAGCAGGGCACTAGGTCGATCCCTCGCAAAGCGTGGACGATAAGTTTCACCACAGACAGTCCTCCCCCGCTGCGTGTGAATGAAATGTAGTTGTTGTTGTGGTTGTCGTGGTTCTGGTTGTGATTGTGGATGTGGTTGTGGTTGTGGTTGCGGTGGTTGTTGTTGTCGTTAGGGCGGTCCAAAAAACAGAAACGCCTGATGATAACCGGTATCCTTCATTCCAAGCTACTCTGCAGCAGGTGTTTTTGCTTTGGGGCCGCCCAGAAAATCTCGATGCTCATGATGCTCGCCCGCCCTGCCCACTGATGCTCAGGATGCTCATTGTTCGCCTCCAAAACCACTCACTTATCAAGACTTGAAGCGGACCCTGCTTCCAAGTCTAGCGTGCAGATGTATGGTCTAGGGATGTATAGTGGTTTGGGTTTAGAGGTTCACTCGGGGCTTGGTTGATTTGGCCTCAAGCTGCACGGGTTCATCAACAGCGAAGTCTACAATTCGCTGCGACAAGCCATGAGCACTTCAGGGCTTAAGGTGGGGGTTGGTTGGCCAACATGCCACGGCTCCCCACAAAATCAGTAAAAGCATGGACGAAACGTCTCTGATCTGACAGAGGGCAGATTCATGCCTGAGAGGGCAATGTTGTTGCAAAGGAGTCCTACGTTCAGCAGTTTGAAGCTTCGCAGAAGCGAGAGGAGTTCTCCCGACTTATCTTGAGCGTCGTTTTTTTTTTCATGTCTACTTTGGCTGTTGTGACCATGCCCAGGCTCGAAAGCCATTTCAGTAAGCTCGTGGAGGCCGTGCCGCCGGGATTCGCGAAGCGCCGCGAAGCAGGCGCGTGCGCGTGCAAGTCCCGGCTCCAGGAGCTACACCGCATGAAGGCTGACAAAGAAGGCGCAGCTCCGGCCTGGGTTGCACCTGCCAGCGGTCATCTTGCAGCGCAGGTCTCGAAGGACAGATCCCTCAGCTGCGGAAGGACCTGAAGGTAAGTGACGAGACGACGAGACCGGCTTGGACCAGCCGCAGATGCCACGCTGCCACGTCACAGGAGGCCCGGGCCCTCAACGCGGACCAAGAGCCCTGGCCTCGTCTCGCGGCGTGCGGTGTGAGCTTGGAGCACTCGCGAGAGGTCCCAGCTCGTGGAGGCCACGGGCGAACTGTCGCTTGCGGAGGAAGTCATCGATGCGGGGCGCCCTAGACCGAGCGGCGAGAGTCTGAGAGCCCCGTCCCCCCCGGGCCTTGGCTGCCTGGCTGCCTGGCTGCTGTCAGGACATCACCAGCTCAAAGTTGGTGGGCCTCCGGCGCTTCTTCGAGCACGGGGCCCAAAAGGACTTCACGGACGTTTGCTGACGCCAGAGCCCGCTGAGCATCCGAATGCAACCCCATTTTCGAGGCACTACAACCTGCCAGCAGTTTGTGCGTGGCTTAACGATGCATCGCTTTGGGCCATTCATGAACCTCTTTGGTCTGGAGGTTTGTCGCTGTTTCGGAAGGCGCGCGCATGTCCGTGACGAGATGGTTATAACGCGTTCAGCTTTCGACTGTGTATTGCGCCGTTGCACGGCACGAATTGCTGGAAGCAATACTGCAAGCCAATCTTGTCACGATGCCAATCTTCGTTGAAGGACCACTAGTCACTAGTCAGTCTCTACGGCCGTCGAGTGGTGCATCGCAACCTGAGATCCAGGGTATGCGATGCTCAGGGCCATGGCGTATGTTCATGTAAGCGTTGTCTGCAAATTTGTGGAGCTGCAGCGAGACCTCACTTCATTGATCTTACTTGTACATGCTTGTTTGGTACGACACCTCACCATGCCATGTGGTCGTTACTGGTATCATCAACTGGACGATCTGGGCACGTGTGTTGCGTACCGGTGTTTGCGTGACAAGACGGCCTGAGCGCAGGTCGTGGAGCTGCAGCGAGCCTGGCATGGCTGCTCACAGCACCTGCAAGGGTTGTGTGCCGGCGGTTTCGGATTCGCAGCGTGAGCCAGGCACCAGCTGCGGACCAGAAGTCGGCTCAGCCCGAACCCCCTAGGGCTGCTTGAAGCTTGAAGGGCGCAGCCCGAGAAAACAGAAGCTCAGGCCAGACCAGCTTAGCATCGCCGGAGCCTTAGTGCCTTAGTGAAGAAGGATGTCAATGTGGAGCACGGCTACAATGCAGCCACCATGGAGTCCGATCATTCTGCACGCGCAAGTCAAGGGAGACGCCTCGCTCACCACGCGTGGAGCGGCAGGGGCCCAAACCCAGCCGCGCTGTCCACGCTTTTGCTGTCGAGTTCGTGAGGACTCGGGCCATCGAGAGTGAGGCTGACCGCTGACCGAACTGTCTCCCTTCAGATTCAGAACCGGCCTTGAGTATGGTTTTTGCAGAGAGAGAGAGAGAGAGAGAGAGAGAGAGAGAGAGAGAGAGAGAGAGAGAGAGAGAGAGAGAGACAGACTGTAGAGGTGCGACAGCTTGGGGCCGCGCTGACGCGCTGCAGCCTTCAAGGCTACGTCGAGGGCCCGGGCCCCAAGCAGAGAGAGGGAGGGAGAGGGACTGAGAGGGACTTGAGCTCGGAGCTCGGAATGCCTTCGTCGAGGCCTCAACGTGGACCAGGTCACCTCGAGCATGGTCGTGCAGGCGCCAAGGGTGCCGAAGCGCCGAAAGCGCCGAAGCAGAAGTTGCAGGGGTCGTGGGCCGGGGTCTCCTCTACAGGTCGTGCTGGCGCTCTTGGGCCTGGACCTGGGGAGGGCGCCCTGCGATGCGGCGCGCTTCGTGTCGCTGCTGGCGGCTCCGCCTGCGTGGGAGCAGCTGGACTCCTGCAGCCTTCACCTGGAACACGATTCCAGTAGTGGCTCAAGCGTATTGAAAAGGAAAGTCCTGTCCTTGGGCCTGAGCGGTTCGCAGAAGCTTCAGGGGCTTCAAGGTGCCATGGGCCATGGCACAAGCTCGCAGGGCCGCAGGGTTTGATGTGTTCCGTCATGCGAGGTTCTTACGTTTAATGCTCGCTGTTCGGCAGGACTTCGCCACAGCGCTGTGGGGCTCCGCGGGTGAGCCAGCGGCGGCCGTCTGGTTCCCTGCAGAGTTCGCTTTTCCGGAACTGTCAAGTCTTCGAGAGCCCGGGTGGGGAAAGTGAGCGCCATGAAGCGCCACGGGCCACGAGCTTCAGCTGTGCCTCGTGCTGTGCACAAGTGCCCCGGATGTTGCCGAGCACTCTGGGGCTTCTCGGGAATCGAGTATAGCGCACACGGAAGAAGCCGCGTAAGGCGACATGGACGGTCTTTGACACGAGAGAGTGCGACCAAAACCTGTACGTAGGTCCTGGGTTTGCGGGGACGCTAGAGCACGCCTCCTGCTTTCTGCGTCCCGAGGTCGTTCAGCAGCACCGGCCGCAGCCCCGGCCGCCGAGTCCCGAAAAGCTTGCTCAACAATTTTGTTTGGATTCTCTACGAAGAGGGATTGGCTTGCAGGGCCCGCTTGGCGGTACTTTCCAGCCGAATGCTCAGATTTGTCGGACGACGTGCAGCGAGAGCAGAAGGTCAGAAGATGTGGCCTTTTCAGTCGTCTTTTCCTTCTCAGGTCAGGGAGGTGCAAGTGTGCAAAGTTCGAGCAAGCTTTCACCACGACATGGCTCCTTGGAAGAGCGAAGACGCGACCAGGGCGTCGGATGCCGTGCCTAGTTTCCGTGGCGTAGCTATGAGCGACAGAGCGCAGCTGTTTCTCAGGCCAAAGAGCTCTGGTTTCAGCCCATGCCCTCCGAGCCGAGCCGTGTCGCGGACATGTCTGCAACATGGGCCGGTCTGGTCAAGTGTCACCTAGGCATGCTAATGTCCAAAGCACACGATACTCGGCACGACCGATCGCAAGACTTGTCGTACCGGGGTGGCCCGTGGTTTCGCTGGCATGTTGAACGATGTTTGGCATCTGCTGTGCCCCTTTCGACAACCTCAGAAACCAAGACGGATTTGACCATTGCAGCTGCCATGCTCATAGCTCTTCGGGCAATTCACTGGTGATTCGGTGCGACAGTACCCCTTAGCAACTCCAAGCCCGGAAGCCCTCCGAACTTAAACATTGCTGAGATAGCCTGCAGTCTCAGCCTGCACACAATCCGACCTGACCCCCGAACCTTGTGTGTCTCGGTGTACGGTGTACAACAATCTTCGGAGGGCCCGAGTAGAGTGCGGCGTGGGGCGCCGCAAGGCTCTGGCTCATGAGGCGTTTGGCGTTTGTAGTGGCAGAGGCAGCTGAAGTTTTCTCTTGCGAGACCGCTGGTGCAGGCCTGCGCCCCCTTGAAATGGATATCGGCAACCTGCCTGAGAAGCTGCAAGAAGCAGCCGATGGGCCCTCGGAGGTGCGTTGCTTCAGTGAGTTTGAAGCGCTGGTCGGAGTGCGGTGTTCAACTGCGTTCTGCATCATTGCATCTCTCGCAGAGCGAGTCTCCGGCTGGAGGGGAGGTGCAAGGGCCCCGGGATGTGCAGCATGGCTTCGGATGGGGCATGCCGCATGCCACATGCCTATCGTGTTTTTTAAGCGTATTTTGAGCCGATAATCGACCGGTCTCGTTTCCCCGGGTTTTTCAGCATGTAAACGTCTTCATGAATGAAAATCGATTCTGTCCCGAACTCAGAGGCCTCCTAGTCTCCCGCGGAGGGGCCCCGGGCGGCCCCTGTCTTGGTATCAGATGCGAGTCATTGAGTCTCCCTCTTCGTTATGGTACTGTAAACTCTTGTTTGCCATGAACGCCACCCCGTCAGTGCAGAACTTTTGCTTCTACTGGTACTCATCAGCTTCGTTGGCCAGTCTTGTCAGCACGCTAGTTACTGCTAGTTACTAGTCTAGTTGTGTCAGCACTACTTGTGTTTCTAGAAATTATTGGCAAAACTGCTGGTGTTGGTGGTTTCACCATTTCGGAGCATCGTCGAGGTGATAGTCCGACCGTACAGAAAGCACAGTTGGTTGCATCAGTTGATCTGAGCACTTTTGGCCTTTTTCCTGCCACATCCGAAAATCCCACACCACCAAGCCTCAACCCTAGACCCTCCAACCCTGCACCCTAGACGGTAATCCTTCATCCTAAAGATGGTGCACTCCTTCGTTCAGCCCGAGGCGACGTTCCTTCTCGGATCCCCGAAGCCAACGGAGCAGGCTCGCCCGCCTGGAGACTTCAAAACTCACTCCCAAAGCAATTCGAAGAAGGAGGGCTTGGCCGGGGCTTAGGGCTTAGGGCTTCAGCCTCAAACAGCCAGGCCGCTAGGCTCTGGAAGCCCGCCTGGTCTTTGGGGCTTCGTGGGCAACTTCCCGCCAGGACGCTGACCTCGACGATCTCCCCGCGACTCCCCGGGGTCCCGGTCCGCCCAGTCCTTGGCTTCTGAGAGAGAGGCAGCGGGAGCCTCTCAGTGTCGTGGTCTCGGCGGCTCGGCCGTGTTCTCAGGCTATGGCGTCCACTCCATCCAGAATCAGCGCAGCGAGATGGAGGCTTTTTTGCCCCCACTCCTTCCTTTCAAGGCATTCCCGCCGGTCCTCCTCGACAGGATGCTCATCGGGCCGTCTTAGGCGCAGCCTGCTGCAGCCCCTCCCTTCGAGCTCAGGCGGACTCGGGACTCGGATGACTGGCTGAAAGTTCCTTCGTGCTCTTCCCTGGTGGCCTCGCGAGGCAGAGAGGTGGCTTGGGAATCTCAGCTACTTCTCCGTCTTCGATGGGCCAGAGACATAGGACAAATATGAAGCCGTCGCTTCGGTCGTGCTGTGCTGCTGTGCTGCTGTGCTGCTGTGCTGTGTTCTGGTCTTTGAGGCACGGCGGTTCGCGAGCTGCCGAGTTCTCCAGTGACCGCCTGGAAGCCAAAGCCAAGCCTGTCAGAGAAGCGATCGGTCCGAAGCGCTGAGTCTCTCCCAGAAGGTCTCTTCAGCCTCCTCGTGGAAAATCGCGATGAGCTGCATGCGGAGCGCAGCGCTCTTCCGGGAATCAGACCTTTATCTGTTTTTGTTTGTTGATGCGTGTTTTGGGGTTTTTGTGTGTTTCCTTTCTTCAGCGTTTTGTTGATTTGCTCTGTTTGTGATTATAGCTTTTATTTTGTTTTTGTGGTTTGCATTGTGTTGCTTGTTGCGTTTGGTTGTTGTTGCTTGTTTTGCTGTTGTTTTCTGCGTGTGTTAGGAAGCACGTATTGACGCTGGGTATCAAATCTGGCCAGTGTTCTCTGCAGGGTGTAGCTCGGTTAGTTGGAACGTTTATGGCTGCTTAGTCGCAACTTTTTTGCTCGGTTGTAACTTCTCGTCCCGAGGGTGGCAGGGCGGTGGTGTGAGAGGAGAGGGGGGCTCAGGGTAGAGATCATGAGAGGGACACGCCCTCCAAATGCGCCCTACTTCCCGACAATCGTCAGAACTCAGAGCCGGGGCGTGTTTAAGATAGTAGGATGACCAGGAACCGCCAAACGTGGCGGCGAGCAAAAGAGATATGATGAGCCGGAATCGCCAAATGAGCGGGCATGTTGAAGATATGAGCCGGAGTCGCCAAACGAAGGCGCGTGTTGAAGCTACTTGATGACCCGGTATCGCCAAATGAAGGCGCACATTTAAGGTATATGATGAACCGGACTCGCCTGATGAGGGGGCGTGCTTATTATTTAAGATATGATGGAGCAGAATCCCCAACGTTACGTTTTAGATATCACATGAACCGACATCGCCAAAGGGGGGGGTGTTTGGAGCCGCCTAGTGTGCGATGCACCAGAATCGCCAAATCACGGGCACGATGATGATGATGATAATGATGATCTCTGTCGGACGGTAGCCTTCCCACGGTTGTGAGGTAGCTCTCCGCCCGCCGCTTCGCGGACCTCCCAACTCGAAAGAGGCCGAGCGCGAAGCCCAATCGCCTCCCAAGCGAATTCGCTTGCCAGCACACCTCAGGCGGTCAGCGCAAGCGTGCAGCCTGAGCCAAGCTACTCAGGCGCCACTCACAGCGAGGCTTGACGAGCGGCGGCTGCTTGTCGTCCTTGTTCTCTAACTCAACCTGCTCTTGCCCACAGGGCTCACAGTTCCCCCTTCAGAGTGCTTGTAGCACGTCCAGTCCGTCGCGGCGCTAACAACACTGAGCTCGCTCAGACGGCGGTGCACCTCCACCTCGCCAGCAGCCTCGGGTCACTACAGTGTCTTTTGCACGGGGGCGTAAGTCTTGTGTGGCCCTTCTCGAAACGATCTGGCGCAGTGCTCCTCCTGGGGGTCGTGACCTCACCAGCAGTGTCGCAGCGTCCCCTGCCGCCCCAACCTGCGTAGTGTTTGTCGGCTCCTTCGTGTCCATGTCAGATGCAGCCGCTGCCTTGGCTTGCGACGACGCTTGGCCCAGACGGCCTCGCGCCGTGCTCCTTCCTCGTCACCACCGATGCAGGCATCAGTGGGAGCGTGCTCAGGCACCTGGGACTGCCGCCGCTGGTTGTCCACCAACTGGTCGAAACACAGCTGACACTGCCGCGGCAGCAACTGCAGCAACAGTCCTTCTGGGCGCACGAGCATCGTAGGCGGCGCGAATCGCAGCTGCCACGACTCGTGACGCTGCATCGCACGGCTGAGCAGCTAGGGGGGACCTACTCAGCACAGCAGTCGCTTGGGCCTTAAGTCAGGGGGCATGCTGAACATGTATGATGATCGAAGCGGAATCGCCAAATGAGGGGGGCAGATATATGATGAACCGGGCGCGGCGTGTTTTACACATACGATGCACCGGAATCACCAAATCGGGGGGCATGCTGCTGAATCGCCAAATGATGAAACGGAATCGCTAAATGAGGGGGCTCGTTGAAGTTGAAGCTATGTCATGAACTGGAATCGTCAAATCAGGGGCGGGGGACGGGGGGGGGGGGGCTTGTTTAATGTATATTATGAAGCGGAATCGCCAAATGAGGGGGCGCCTAAAATATATGATGACCCCGAATCGCCAAATGATGGAGCATGTCAAACGCATATGATGAACCCGCGTCGATCGCAAGCCCCAAGAGGTTTCTGCTGAACAGCACCGTGCGATTCCGAATTCCTTACTAGCTTGACTTAAATCGAAGCCTTTCGGAGTGCCATTCCAGAATAGCTTGACGCTGTATGATGGCCCGGCATCGCCACATGAGGGGGTCGTGTGGTTAAGACTTAGTTTGATGAATCGGAATCGCCGAATGAAAGGGCATGTTGAAGGTATATGATGAAGCGGAATTTCCGAATTAGGGAGCGCGCATAAGATATATCAATATGATGAACCGGAATCGCGAAATGAGCGGGTGTGTTGTCCTTTCCCCTTTTTCCTCGCATTCCTTCTTGTTTGCTTGTTTGCTTTTTCGCCACCCTCCCTCCCTCACTCCCTCGCTTCCCTCCCCGGCCTTCCTCCGCCCAGCTCCAACCTCTCCTCCATCGATGTTCCTTGTTTTGCTGCTGTAGCTCTTTCTGTCTACTGTTCTTTCGCTCGTTCTTTCTTTCTTTTGTTCTTCACTTTTTCCTCGCGTTCTTGCTTGCTTGCTTGCTTGCTCGCTTGTTTTTTGTCCTTTCTCTTTGTCTCTCTCCCGGTCCCCACCGTCCTCCCTCCCTTCCCCTCCCCTCGGAAAGCCAAAACAAAGTCTCCAAACAAGAGCACCGAAGCTCCAGAGAAGTTTGGATGGGCCCCCCTCCTGACAGGAGCCGGAGCTCGCCCTGCAGAAGGCCTTCGCGCAGACGGAGGCGACGGAGCGGGGCGACGGGAGGGCGGGGCGCAGGCTGCGGCGGGGGCTGCGGCATGAAAGACTGGTCGTCTCGGCTCTGGGGCTCTGGGCTCCGCTCCCCGGAGGCCGACTGGTTGACGTTGGCCAGAGAAGAGGACCTCATGGACGGTGAGCGCAGCCGAATCCCGGCTCTGGAGGAGTTCGTGTGCCGCTTCGCCTGAGGTACCACGGCGGCAGTGGTGGTCGTCGACCGCATGGCCCTGCTGCCAGTCTATAGTTCTCTACGTCGCATCACACGAACTTGGGCAAGAAACCTCTGCGGTGCTGTCCGGCCCTACAAGTAGAGCTCGCTCGGACAACTGCTTCCTTATAGTCTTCAGCAGCGCACCAAGCAGCTGGTTGGCCATGATGTTACCATCAGCATCCCGGTAAAGAGAGCAAGACGTTCAACACAAGTAGTTGCCACTTTCAGTACTGTCGCTGTCATCATACTTGCTGGCATCTTTGCCTTATGGGAAGATAGCACAGGTTGCTGCTCGCACGCGCACCAAAACCACTTCTGACAGCCAGAAACCTGCTGCAGGCCGGCCGGTGCATCGTTGGCAATGTGGGTGACAGCGAGGTCGCTCCACAGACCCGACAGGAACAGGGGATGTTCTAGAGACGCTCAAGAGCCTCAGAATATCTCCATATACGCCTGGCCTGAACCGCCAGCTATCCATCCAGACCGTGGAGCTTCGTACTTCGGCGACAGGCTTAAGCCTTAAGCGACCGAAGTTTCCGACCAGGTGATGCTGGGAGGGCGCAGCCCCGATGGCAGCATCTATGCCCAGGCTCTCACCGAGGTCCACCACTGCAAGAGGCGCCACATTCCGGGAGGGATCCAACAGGGAGAAGTTGCGAGTTTCAGATTATCGCCCGGAAGCTGCTTGTCACTAGAGTTACTTAGCCCAAGAAGTTTCAGAGCCAACTTGTTCAAATTGTAGCTCAGCTAGGTTACACGCAGAACTACATAGCACATGTTCCCCTGAACACCACAGACCTGCAGGAAAAAATCTTCCATTATGATACAGTGCAACATTTGCAGGGATTTCAAGGCCCTGACGACCCTACTCACTGACTGTTCTCCCACCATCTTCAGTCTCTGTCTGTTGTTTCTCAAGCACAGAAACCATCGGGATTTACGATGGTTTCTCCACTTCACCGTTACTTACCGCTACACATTTCATGTATTTGTGTGATGGCATACCACCTCAACCCCAAAACGGATTCTGCTTGGCGCTCCGTGTTGCGTGCCTAGCGCTTGTTTCTCTTGTTTCTCGCTAGTGCAGAGAACCAGACATTCTCACTAAAGAAGACACCAGAAAGCTCATCTGCTTCTGGGCAATCAGTTCTCTCTCAACACAAAGGGAGAAAGTTCCCTTCCTGCAGTGACAAGAACCTTCGTTCATTTTTCTCTGCAGCAAAGCTTTTTCATCTGAATCAATGGCGACTAACGAAAGAGTTCCCAAATTCTGTCACATAAGGATTTTTGTTTTCCCTGCCCTATATATAAGAAGCATGAAAGAACACGTGTATCTGTTTCTGTTGCATTGCTTCAAAAGGGTAGCTCCATCGTGTTTTAAAGGCATGTGATCATCGGCTAAGATTTTTCGAGCCACGTAAGATGGACAGTTTGAATAGAAATAGCTGCTCTTGTTTCTACCTTAAGACATAAGAGATAAGGACAAATCCTTCAGTGAAAACAAACATAATAGTGGTTGGTTTGGCTTACTAGCCACAACACTAAACAGAGGTGTCGATCCATAAAACTGAAATAAAGGTTTGGCTCCTCATAAGAAATGAAGGTAACTTGCATGTATCTTCATGCTTCAGTTGAAACCAGGACAGCTTCATATCTTCAAAAACAAGTAGGACAACGGGAATTCAGTTGTTCTTTCTAAGTTGGTGTTGTTTTCTCTCATGCGAAATCCTGTTTCATCACAGCAAACACACAGTAAACCACCTTGGTCCCTTATCAGAGCCCTTACAATCTGCCAATACCACCAAAACTAGCCTGAGTGTTCATGGAAACAAGTGGCCTCCCTCCACCAAATACATGCGGTCATCAAGAAAGTATGTCGAGCTTCTTTCGCTGTTTACTTCGTGCGAATCAAGGCACACATGTATCTGGAAAGCATGAATTGGTTGTTCCTCTCAACACATGTGCTGTGTTTCCTTAAGAGGGATAAAATGCAAGACGATCCTGGTGTTCTTCATAATCGAGCTCCACTGCACCGTGGTACTCGCGCAAGTGATACAGCCCCTGCCATCCTTGAATACAGCAGGAAAGGTGGAAACACATGTTTTCTCATTATAGGACAGGGAATCTCAGCCACCGTGGCCCGACATTCCGCATGGATGCCAGGGTTTGGGTCCAGCTTCACAAAATTTGGAGAAATGACATCTGGCGATGTCTTGGAAACCTCGGATGCGAAAACACTGCCAAGCTCGAAATTCCCAAGGTTCCTGAAACCTGAAATGCAAAAGTGATAGAGGAACAGCCGTACCAAGTACTCATACATGAACCTTCAATTGCTTCAATTGCCACCTGTGCTCTCGCCTCTTTAACCGAGCAGAGTCATAACTGTTGTTGAGATCAGCTTTGCTCAACAAAAGAAGTAGAATACCAGCTGTACTATGTAGTATTGAAGCCTGTCTGTGTTTGTGGATGCTTTACGGCCAAAGAACGTTTTGTGCAACTGCACCTGTTCTTTGAACTTTACATCATTTTCAGATGGGAGTTCTTGCTTCTTGATCGAGGTAAGATCTTAACTTGCCCGTTGTTTGAACAGAGAAACATTCATAAAACAAAACAAACTTCATATCATTACATATAATGTAAAGTGAGTTCCAGTAGTATCCTTTTGTCCTTTTAATTTTGGGGTTCAGATATTAAAACTGAGTACCAGGAGAAAAGGTACCACAAACGAGCTGTTAATTGATTCAACTGCTGGCGGTACTAATTCTTCTTTCGTCGAGCAAAATCATGGCCGAGTCAAGGCCAGCTTTATGGCAGGAGCTTTATCAGTTGTGCGACGTGCGAGTAATACGGTGCAACGGAGCTCGATTATGTTGAACAGTCGTCTTGCATCTTCTTAAGAAGAAGCAGCAAAGGTGTTGAGAGGAACAGCGAATGCTTTCCAGATACATGTGTGCCTCGATTCCCACGAAGTTTAATCGTGGAGTTCCAGCCACTGATGAGGGACCAGGGTGGTTTATTGTGTTTTGTAGAGAACAACACCAACTTAGAAAGAACAACTGAGTTCCCGTTGTCCTACTTAATATGAAGATATGAAGTTGTCCTGGTTTCAACTGAAGCATGAAGATACATGCACGTTACCTTCATTTCTTAGGAGGAGCCAAACCTTTATTTCAGTTTTATGGATAGACAGGCCGCATCTCTGTTTAGTTACGTTTAGTGTTGTGGCTAGTAAGCCACCCAAACCATTGTTGTGTTTGTTTCCACTGAAGGATTTGTCCTGATCTCTTATGTCTTATGGTATGAAAAGAAAAGGAGGAGCAGCTATTTGTATCCATCGTGTACATCTCATGTAGTTCGACAAATTTTAGGTGATGTTACATGATGATGCTACCCTTGGCCGCAGCATAAACAGACACACCCGTTCTTTCATGTTTCTTATAAGGGTAAGAAAACAACAGTCCCTATAATCATTGACAGAATTTGGGAACTCTTTCATTGATAAAGATGAAAAAGGTTTCTCTGCAGAAAAACACGGAGCGCCAAGCAGAATCGGTTTTGGGGTTCAGGTGGTATTAACACAAACAAATAAAATATGTAGTGGAAGGTAACGGTGAAGTGGAGAAACCATCGTAAATCCCGATGGTTTCTGTACTTGAGAACCAACAGACAGAGACTGAAGATGGTGGGACAACGGTCGGTGAGAACGTTGGTATGGATCATGGTGTGTGTGTGTGTGTGTGGTGACCATATATGGATGTATGCATATATATATATATATACATACACACATACACGCGCGCCATCCATGTCAACCATGCTAAAGCTACCCCGGGCTGTGAAGCTAATAGAACTAGTTGCCGAAACGCGTTGCCTTGCTTTCGATCGCTGTCTAGTTGTTCTTATGTTTTGGAGAGTTATTCGAGACACCTTCTTCGGCTATATCAACACGTGCACCGACCTGCTATGTCCCCCGTGCAGACTCAACAGTTCTTGTTTTCACAAGCCCAACAGCTTTCGTTACGCAAAGACAAGTGGGGCCTCGACATCAAGACATGTTTGCTTGTCGCTTACACACCACTGAAGGAAAAGAAAGACTACTAAGGTTTCAAGACCAACCATCAGCTACAAGCTTTTGGTGTTCGTCACCTTGTTCCGGTCAACTGCAAACGTATTCGATCTTGTACGATTCTACATCGGGAACCCCTTCCCGCTAGCTTTGGATTGGATGCCTATTGTGCTATGATGCAGAGAATCGTTGGCTTAATTTCAACAGCAGCCATGTGTTGTAGATCTGGTATGGTGCAACCAAGAGTTGGTAGGCTTCCCTTGCCAGTAAGTATTCCATTTTGCCAGAAGTATGCAATCGGAGGACAGGATGTTGCAACGGTTTCTCCGGATTCACAAACTGATCCGGCAACTTATTCGTTTAGAATTTCCTTGCAGGACATTGGCCGAGCGGTGTGTATTTGGACAGGAAGACCTAGACGAACTGGCAAGCGCATGACGCAAGTCCGATTTTTGGATGTATTCGCCATCCTTCAAATTGCAAGTGGCTTCATCTACTTTGTTATTGTTTGCGCTACCTCGTGGATAGCCGTTGGGAACCAGATTTCTCCTGCTTTGGCAAGTATTCCTCCTGCACAACTTGAAGCTGCACATACTCCTGAAGTTCATCATGAGTTTCTTGGATTCGACATTCCAAACATAATTAGCAAACTTTTTCAGTGGTTATGATCATGGCCAAGGAGAACTGGAGGTTCATCAACAGCACCGCGAGTACTGCTATTGGTCCTGGAATGATGACGATATGAGGAAGTGGTGGCGGTGGTGGTAGTTGTGGTGGAATGTTAGTGCTACATCCGTTCTACAACAAAGACCCGGGGGCTGTGTGTGGAATTCTTTTGTGATGTAAGGAAGGCACATGACAGCGATGGGTTGGCTCTTCGTCAATCAAAGCAGTCGGCTCCAGTGACAAGCTTTGTTCAACGACGTCCGTGTACAGCCCAAGCCCATCACACAAATATGTTGGATGGAATGGATGGAGCAGGTGAATGAGTGGTTCACTGGTACTGCCCGTGGTTCAAGCCTCGAGAGACAGAGAGTGCCCAACCCAACATAATAGCGGAGGGCCGATAATTCGGGCAACCTTTCTCCCCTTGCTGCCAACTTTTGCCTTCACGTGCCAAACCTTTGCCCTGACCTCGAGTGAGTCGAGTCTTTGCTTGTTGCCTAACTAACCTACATTGCACGCGTCTCTATCGACTCGGACCATGTGCCACTGCAAAGCAAGCACAGAACGGTGGAGGGGTTTGCGCAAACGCACGGGTCGGGGTGCCTGAGAGAGAAAAGAAAGAGAGAGAGAGAGAGAGAGAGAGAGAGAGAGAGGCTTTTTTGGCTCAAGCCGTGAGTGGTCCAAGGCCGCGCCCCGAGAAAGCAGAGGGCCTCAACCGAAAGCCGATCCCGATTTAGGTGACCCAAGCGATGCTGGGGGCTTGGTGAACAGTTGTAAGCTCCTTTTCAGCACGGATCCATGAAGAGGCCGGGGGGGTTGCTAGAGTACAGGGTGTAGGGGGATTCACGGGTGCAGAGCGGGGCCTCTTCTGGAAAGCCAGGGGGTTTCACAAAAGACCTTCAAGACCGGTGCGCGCTTGCGCGCGGGCGCCGCGGCGCCTTGTCCGAGTGCAAGCAAGAGAGGCTTGAAGCCCGGGGGCTGTGACAAGTCCCCAAGCCCGGGAGAGAGAGAGAGAGAGAGAGAGAGAGAGAGAGGGAGAGAGAGAGAGAGAGAGAGAGAGAGGGAGATGGGTCTCTTAGGGGGTAACACCCCTGCACCACAGCCCTGGCGAAAGAGAAGAAAGATGGGTCTCTTTCATGCGTTCTCCCCCCGCTTCACATCCAGTTTCCCTCCCGCTTTCCTTCAGATCTGCAGCCTGTCTGTGAGGAGCCACTCTGAGTCGCAGCGCATCCAGGAAAGCCGAAGAGTTGGGCAATGCCGCCAATGCCAATGTTATTTTTTTGATTGGTAGCATGCCGCCTCGGAGGATCTTGGTGGTCGCGTCTGGCACGGCCGGCTAGGCCGTGGGATGCTGCCGTCCGTCGGCCAGTTGGAACTTTGGTCAGCTCTTTGAATTCGAGAGGCCATCCCAAAATCAGTCCGCAGGCGCCATACGCTTTTTGCAGATGTAGCTCCTGATAGCTCTGACAAGCACAGGTGCTGTCTTTGTCGGTGTCGCGGGCGATCGGAGATCTTTTCTTCAAAGATGACAAGTGCGCTGGACCTGTCATGCGAGAATTGGAGCTATAGACTATAGACTATAGACACTACTCAGCCAGCAAGCCGGTTGTGCTATAGCTGACTTCTGGCCAGCTATGCACCAGACTGTTTTTCGGGATGCTCGCATCTCTGGGTTTCGATACGTTCATGCGTGTATACGCTGCCGTATGTACGTGTGCACATGCATGCAGCTGTAGGTAGAACGCCGGCAGCCAAAGACTTCAGCAAACCGAAAAGGCCCGCACGAAAGCATGCCGGCCAGGTTCACCGGTGGCATGGCCTCGGGCCTCACGGCCGACCCGTACATCCGCTCAGCAGAGGCCCTAAGCCCGTGTGTACTCCGGCCCTGCGTAATGGTATTCATGAGATTTGCAGGAGTATGACTCCTGAAATGTCCGATCTGAGCTACGTGCAGGAATGCCTGGTGAACAAGAAGGGTTAGTTAAGGAAGTGTAGAGGTGGAGAGTTCAGAACGAGGATCAGAATGGCCTTGAAGAGCGTTTCAGAGCAGGATCCGCTGCAACAACGATAGAGGAAGCGAAAGCAGGCATGTGTGAAGATGCTCATCAAAAAGATGGTCAATGTGGCTATGAAGCGCTCAAAGAACAGGAACACTCCGGCTCTTCGAAGGTTCGCATCGCGAGCCGCTTAAGACTTAATCCGATGTTGCAGGTTTGCCAAGGCCGACTGCAACACGAGTTTCTGCTCATCGGCTGCGATGGCTTGTGGGATACGGTGTCATATGAGCAGGCCAGGCTCCGCGGCGTTGGCATGCCACCGCTCTTGAGTTTGCAGCTTTCTTATAGTTTGCGTCGAGAGTCGAGCGCAGTGCTCCTTCAGACTTGCATGCGTCGTCGGGGTGTACAGCCATTTCGAAGGTTTGCTCTAGACATGTCCTTAAACTCTACGCTTTCGGGGGGTTCCAACGTTGGTACAGTTCGACTGCTGGAAGTCGTCGTCGAGAGGAGCTGTAGCTCGATGAAAGGTGGCGATATGGCATGTGTCTTGATTGGCTTGCCCGTCGAGCAAACTGAGTATGGAACAGTAACCACAGCGAACCGATGAACAGCAATCTTTCGCAGCATTGTGATTCAGACCGCTGGTTGGCCTAGGAGGATGTAGATCGTGGAGCGTGTCTCCGAGATCCTTTGCAGTTTGGAGGCCGCAGCGCTGGTCCTGGACAAGCTCGGAGAAGGGGAGGAGCCCCAGGCCATCAGCGAGGCACGGTGCATGACTGGCACACGGCAGAGCATGTGCCCCAAGCTCTGACTCGCCGCCTCAGGCGCTGGTTCGAGTCGCGCATGACGCGGGATCGATGGACAACATCACGGTGATGGTCGTCGCGTTCTGACTTTTGAAACTCACGCGGGCGCGCTGTTTCACACAGAGCCGATCATGATGAGATGATATGCACGTGTACCGTGTTACTTGGCAAACGATCTCGAGCCACGTTCCTGGCTTCTGCCCGGGGTCTCCCGGAACAGTGCTTGGAATGCCCGGTTTCTTATAAGTGGTTATAATTTGGTTATGTAGAGATAGCTAAAAGTTACTAACTAGGTACTAGTTAACCTGTATTATGTAACTCGAAATAACTAGTTAACTTGTTCGTCAAACACAGAGAATGATAAGAAAGTTGTGGCGCTCGTTGCAAAGAAAGGTGTGGCCAGGAGACGATGGAGTTCAACATAAAAAGTATTTGCAAAATGGGGATCACAGAAAAAGGGACCGAAGGCAATGACAATTTGGCCTAAGGTTATGATCACGGATCAGGCAGAAGCTAGTGGTCAAATCCAGAGGGTCGTTTGCATATTAGGCCAATATTTCTCCAATAGTCGTTCTGCGACTTTTCCCAGTAGTCGGAGTCGAGGCCAATATTTTCCCAATGTCTTTACTGAACCTGCGGCTGCGAATTTTGCTTACTGAGTTTACTGACTCTGCGGCTGCGAGCTTTGCTTGATCTGCCGAAGTTGTATTTATTGAGCTCCATAGCTGGGTCCGGCCCAGAGTCCGTGGCACTGTAGCTGCGGCAAGTGGCGAGCGATGGCTGGCTCTGAGTGGTAGAAGCTTATGGACTGCATGTTGCAGGAGTCAGCGACAGGTTACGTCGGCCCAAGTGGCCAAAAGTGGGGGGATTGTGTTACACCTGGCTGGAATCCGTAAAGAGATATTGGAGAAATATTAGGGCTAGGCGACGCCAGGGCACGAATACTGGAGAAATATTGGGGCAGAAATATTGGGGAAATATTGGGGAGCACACTGGGAGCGAATATTGGGAAAATATTGGCGAAACGCAGGAGTTTCCCAATATTTTCCCAATATTCCGAGTCCCTGTCTGTCCCAGTCTATTCCGAGTGTGTTCCCGCACTTTGCACCCCACCCCGCGCGCTTCCCGATCCCCTTTCCCCTGTCTCGCCCAAGCCCCAAAAACGTCGCCCACCGTCAACCCTGGACCCGAGCCTCAACCCCACCACCCTAAACCTTAAACCCTACACCCCGAAGCCCCACCCCCGGACGGCAAGTCATAGCGGCTGGAGTTGGTAGGAGTGCCAAACATAAGACATATTGGGAACATATTGGGAACATACTGGGGGCAATATTGGGCCTGGCAACAAGGCATCACCGAACATTGGGAAAATATGCACAACCAATATTGGGAACATATTGGGTCTGACACCACCCTGTGGCCCAGAGCTTCTACCTACTGCCGTGGTCATAAGCCTAAGGGAGAAAGTCCAGTACCCATGTACGCCTGTGTGAGAAAGGTGATTTTTCAAGATGCCAGACTGTGAGGGCGCAAGCACATGCGATAAAAGTGATGCTTGAGAAGGTTTGGCAAGGGACCGCGAATGCAAAACCAAGTCGCAAAGACTTTGAGACTACGACAAAGCACAACGACAGTCAAAGGCAGCACCAGACTACGGCGTCGACCGCGACGTGAAAAAGGGAGTGAGTGCAGCCTGCTTTTCGTTTCGGAAAGGAGTGTAGGTTTCTGAAGCGACAGTTTCACTGAAAATTTTCGGTTACAGGACTTGAAGTCAACTACATCCACGACAAGCGAAGATGAAGAGAAGGATTATGGTTAAAGTGAAGATGAAGCTCAAAGGAGCAAGGCTCTAAGTGAGCATGAGACAATGGTGAAGTGGATGGATGGTAGAAATTGTTTGGTGATCGAATCAAGTTGTGCAATACAACCTGAGTCGATGATGGCGTAACAAACAAATCAGTCTCCTGTGTATGCCCAATTTAGCTAGTTTCACTGCATGTCTCCGTAGGTCAAGCGACGGCTCAAGCACAGCGGGGAAAATAGTGTGGGCCGCCCGTGTGTTGACAAGGGATTAGAAGTTGACGTTGGTAGAAGGTTTTAAACTTTCAGGAGGACAACACCCGCCAGGTGAGGAAGATCAACATTGCAGCCGGACGCAAGACATCAGATCGTGCAACTGAGGCCGAGACAACAAGCCTTCGAAGCGTAGCAGGGTCTCTCGCATGGATTGCTAGGTTCGCGAGGCCTGATCTGTGTTACAGGGTACACTGCTTGCAGAGAGCCTGTTCGTCGGCAACAATCGCGAATTTCAAGGAGGCCAACCGTGTTGTGGAATCGTCGTGACATTTTCAGACGCGAGTTTCGCTCAGGAGCCAGGTTTCAAGAATCAGCAGGGTAGGCTGCATTACCTCACGACGCAGAGCACATCGGACTCCTATACCCGCGTGGCTCATGTTCTGAGTTACGGCTCCACAACCATCAAGAGAGTGTGTCGCAGTACATTGGCATCGGAAACATTCGCAATGCAAACGGCAGCGGAGAACGGAGACCGCTTGAGAGCAATTATGTGTGAACTTCGAGGTCAAAGGCCAACACTGAAAGGTCGTTTGGAGGAAACGCAGAAGAGAATGCGGCATTTATGGATCACGGACTGTCGTAGTCTTAGTGACCATCTCAACAGCACCCAAGTCAACAAAGTCGCGGACAAAAGGCTTGCTATTGAGCTAACGGCCATGAGACACAAACATTGAAGAAGTGGAATCTTGGAAGGTCCTGTCTCCTTGCGGAGACAAAATAAGATGGACAGACACCGCGACGCAACTAGCTGATGCTTTGACAAAAAGCCTCAAGCCGTTTCAGTTGTTCAAACTGATGGAGGAGGCGATGGTCCAACTGTCGGAGCCAACACGCAAGTTGTCCAAGGACGAGGTGCTAGCCTTGCAGCAACCGTGAGCCGTAGAGCACGTTTGTACAGTTGAATCCATGGAATAGTGATCTAGTAGTTACCAGGAATTGCAGTCTGGTAGAACGCCTTCGAAATGTACAGTCTTGTTCGAAACGCTCCCACAACATCGCAAAGCGAGTGAGCCCCCGGCACGCATCAATAAGTAAGACGGGTGTGAATAGCACCTCGATTTTTGCATGTGCAGCTTGAGTGCGTGTTTTTCGTTATGCGTAGCTCTAGGCAACCAGCTGATGTAAAGTTGTATATGTTATATGTGTTGCTGTTGCCAGGACTACTCAAAGGGCCATTGAGCTAAAGGCGAAAAAGTAGCAGCCAGAGCGCCATTGCACGCTAACTTGATTATGTTGTTTACGCAAAAAACTATTCAGATTACCAAAACATGTTAAAACTTATAAGATACATATGTATGTATATATATATATATATGCATAGCACAGACTTAGTACACAGTTAGTACATACTTAGCACAGATTTATGTACTGTTGCTAAGCCATTATATGTTCGCTTAGCTTTCACAGACGCTTATAAAAAACCAGGCATTCCAAGTACACTACAGACACCGATCATATAACAAACCGATGCAAGCGCCGCACGTTCAGCTGCCAGGTTCTTTGCAGCTTTGTTTTAGGCAGTGTGTGATGGAATGTAGTTATTCGGTAATAGGACAAACATTGTCATTAGATATGTGTCGGTGTAGCACAACCGAACTTCGAGCAACCATGGACGCTTGCGAGACGGCAGAAGCCTGGAAGCCCCGAAGAGCGCTCACAGCGCAGCCTTCGCAGCCGCAGCCTTCGCAGCCGCAGCCCTCAGCCTGGCCAAGCCAGAAGAAAAGAAAAGCGCGCGCTTCCTGAACACTTCCGTAGGTCCCCTCCCCTCTCTTTCTCTCTCTCTGTCTCTCTCTCTCTCTCTCTCGAACTCCGCCGCCCTCATGTCGGCTGCCAACAGAGGCTGAAGAGCGGCCAAGACACCCAAAAGCGCCCTTCTTTGTTCCCGAAGCCGCTCTACACCATCCGCCGCCATGCCGCTCCTGGGCTCAATCTCAAGATCTCAAGCTTCAGCCCCGAAACACTTGCTCCCGGCTGCAGGATGTGCGAGCCAGAGAACACTGAGATCTCCCGCACCATCGAGAAGGAGCTCTTGAACCAGGCCAGGGCAGGTGCACAGGTGCAGCGACTCAGGGTTTCATAGGGAACGGAACGGCTTCTTTCTCTGGCTCAGGTCGACGAGTCTTGGGCTCTTCAGCGGAAGAAGGCGCTCAAGGACGGTGCAGGGCAGAGTCAGAGAGAAGGCGGATGGTGTGCCCTTCCAAGCTCTCCGAGGACCTCTACGTGGGCAACCCACCTCCTGTGGGCCGAACTTGCGCGGTGGAGCGTCCCTCGACACCCAAATGGCTCTTCAGGCTCTGCAGAGTGCTGCTGTGACGTGCTGTGGGGGCCTTGCATTGCCTGCCTCGTCTCGTGAGGGGGCACCAGTACCATGGCATCAAGACCAAGGAGGCTTCGGCCTCTCTTTCGAATTGAAGTCCTGTTCCTAGCCATAACCAAAAGATCGCAGTGCCCAATGCGCAAGGAGCGGGACCATCGGGTTTTGAATGAGCTTGCTGCAGAGCGTGTGGCACAAGCCAAGCAGCTTCCATCGGGTCCAGGTGGGTCACCCCCGGGCGGTCAAAAGATGCGGGAACATGTATTTGTTGCAAAACCGTGGGTGTGACATAGGGTTGCTGCTACCGTCTATGAGGGAGTGTGTTTGTACAGGTCTGCCTCAGGGTTATGCGATGCGCTTTCAGAAGATACAGAACGCATGCCAAAGAGGTTAGTCTCAGCGCGATCTCACGTAGGGAAGTTGTGCTGAAAGTATTGAGAAGTCAAAGAATAGCTTGCTGATGCACAATTTGTTTAGACGCCTTGAACCGCTCCACCTATAGGGGCCCTCTGGAAAAGCCTGGGCCCATGTCTGGGCTCTGTCTTCGACAACTAGATCGGATTGAGCCCCAAACTTCAGCTGCATCACGATCCTGAGCGGGTTTTGATGCTTGACACGCTACGAGGATTTTCCCATAAATTTGCTGTGTTTTTCTGCGCAAGTTCGCACACAGTAGAAAACGGCTCTGCAGCTTTCTCACTTGCACGCCTCCGGCAAATTCGGGCCGCATGTTTATTTGTGTTCAGGTCTGGGGACCTCGTGGGGCATTTAGACGTTCACAGTTCAGGAAGTCGTACGGAGGAGGAGCTCAGCGAGAGCCGAGCAACGCAACGCAAGGACCGCGACGGGGCGAAGGTTTGATATGTCTCAGTGGTTTTGGGCCTGTGGGCCTGTGGGCCTGTGACTGAAGGACCCCCCGCCCGGCTTCGGCGGTGGCACGCAATGACCTTGGCATGACAGTACGGGATCTTTGCCTCGCACTCATTGACAGTGTAGACTTCTACAGACTCTTACAACAATCTGTACAGATATCTCCACTTGCGCAAGCAGTCGCCTCTCTCTCGTCTCTCGTTGCTCGTCACCATCACCCGGCCATATCAGCCGGTTCTGATCGTTCTTCATCATCCTTTGCGGCGGGAGCATCGGCATCTCACGTACTGTAGTGTTCCTTCCAGGAAGTTTTGCTTTTGGAAGTGGCACTGGCTCAAAGACTTGGTTCGAAGATGGAGTCATGTCTGGGACCCGAATGAACGGGGCATGGACCATTTCAGATCTCTTGCACACTTCGTGCCGCAACTTGGACTAAGATGCCCAAACCCATACCTGAATGCGCAATGCCATGCAGAAATCTGCACGGACGGAGCCGGGGCGGCGTTGAAGTATGGGGTGGGGGCACTGGTGCCGTCTTTGCGCGACGCACCACGGCCACAGAACGAAAGGGAGCAAGTACATGTTGCGCTACTGCGGAGCCACCATTAGCCACTACAGCTTGGATTGCACGAGTCAAGGATGCAAGACTGGGCAAAGCACATGAAGGCGCCTCTCGCCAGCAGTGCCAAGGGCATCGACAGCGTTTGAAAGCGAAAGAGCATCACGTCATATTCCCGTCACAAGCCATGCCTCACCAAGAGAGGCGGTTTATATTTCGCTGAGGCTACCGGGCGGCAGGAACTGGCTGGATCGGTGATGGCTAGGGGCCCAAAGTGTCTCACACATTAGGATCCACGTTGCTGAAAGCACTGCTGGACACAGTCGTCCTTGACAGGGCAGATGTTGCGCAAGGTTTGGTGCAGCGAGAAATGAGTGACAGCAGCATGGGGCTGGATTACCATCCCTGCCGCCTTTCATGAAAGGCTCACACCAAAAACAGATGCTTTCATGAGAGCAAAAACAGCTTGTGCTAAGTTAGGCTCGAAAGTCGCATGGGGCATGGGACATTTTGTGCTGAGCTGCTGCATGCTGTGTCATGGAGTGGCCGTTTCTCGGAGCAAGTTGTATAGACTAGATTCCAGTAGCCAGCGAGCAAGGACAATGTTGCCGATATTCCGCGTGCTGGCTCTGCTCTCTTTGCTTCCTGCACGGGCTGCTGGCAAAGGCTGCGAAGGAGAGTACAGTGTTGATCACTGTAGTGACCCTGCTCCGTTCTGCAAACGAACCAGCTACATCGAAGGTTGCTCGTGCTCCGGCGGCTACAGTGCGAAGGTGCTGCGACCATTGACAAGTGTGGTGGGCGGTTCCACGCCTTGGGTGGAATTCGACTGCTGCCCGAATGACGGTGGATGGGAATCTGACTGCGGCCAAGAACAGGAAGCGATCATGGCAGCTGTCTGGGTTCTGTTTTCCTCTTCTCTTGTGGGTATTCTGCTCAGCACCCTTATCATTACGTGCTCAGGCCCTCGGGTACAGAAAAAAACACTGAACGATGCGCAGCTTGAAACCTCACCGGAGGTTCTCGACGGTCGCCAGCTGCATGACAATGTTAGCATGAGCAAGTGGTGTGTAAGGTTGGACGACCTGAAGCAATTCAAGCGACTCGTGATGCATGCTGTCAAGGATGGCCGCATTAAGCCTACCCAGAGGGACAGCTTCGATCCATCCGATTTGAGAATTGGGCCGTCAATGTATACAGTGAACGAGCAGTACATCAAGCCTGTCACGGCGGCAGCAGGGAACGTAAGTTGGGCTTTGATGAAGAATCCAGATGGCCTTCGGTGCGATTTGTTCATCACGCATGGCTGGGCTGAAGGGATTTATGAGTTCGTGGACAAAGCTGTTCACTGCTGGCCGCTGGGTGCAACAGGCGCGTATATTTGCTTCCTATCCAATCCACAGAACTTTGACATTTCACACTTGATTGCACGGCCAGAGTCGTCGCCTTTCGCGCAAGCTCTGAAGTGCGCGTCGTGCATGCTGGTTGTGTCGAACAGAAAAGCTAGCATTTACTCTCGGCTATGGTATCTTGGCCGCTTTTGGTTAGCTTTTCGGACTGTAGCCATTCTGGTAAATATTGCTCAGAACAAGGATGCAAGCAGTTTAACTTGGGATGGGTTCGGGCCAGAAGCCAGCCAAGGTGTGTATATGAGGCATTTGTAGCCTACAAGTTGGACAAACCCATCGTTACGGCAAGGTCCTTGCATCCAATGGCGATGACTCAGACGTGCCGTATCCTCTGCCTCTACACGGCCTCTGCATCCATCGGCCTCCTGCTCCCGCTCCCGGCGTTCCCCCTGGTGGACGCTCCGAGTCAGGTGGCGCTCGCGGTGTTCCTCCTCCTCTCCTTGGGCCTGCTGGGATCACGTGGCCGCCGGCTTTCAGCAATTCACGAAGCTATAGTCGCTTGTACCGCGATGATTGCTGGTCTGAGGTTTGCTGTGGGGATCTCTTTCGGGACCTTCGGGGTCTATGCCGTGCAAGACTTCTTGCTCAACTTGAGCCTCGTCACAGCGCTTGAAGTGGATCGGCATAACTCTCTACAGGCATCCAAACAGAGCGAGGAGCTCCGGCGTGGCTTCACAACTTGTCAGAGCGCTCAATGTTCTTCTAGTAGCGATGCGGATGCAATTTGGGGAGAGATCCATAGCAGCGGACTTGCTGGCGAGCTCGAGTCTGCAGTGGGAGCCTTACGTTCCATGAACGTCTCCACCCGCGAGCTGCGCAGAACCGTGGAGCGCACCGGCCCTTTGGGTGATGCTTCCCACTGGAATCGAGCCATAGTTGTCTCGAGCTTCACTGCCTTCTGGGGATTTTCGCCACTTCTGCTCTTCGCCTACGGCCATGAACTGCCAGAGGTGGATGACTCCAACTACTGGCTGGTGGTGCTGTTGATTGTGCTGTCGGTCTTGGAAGCTTTGGCAGGCATTGTCTTGCTTGTGGCAGTTGGTCCAGCCCGGAGAGCCTTTGCAGCTCGGATCCAACTTTTCTGGATACTTCTTCTGCCCGTCTATATGGCCGGACTGACAACCAACCTTGTCTACTACCTCGTGCAGATCTTCGTGATCGGTCCCGTAGTCCTTACGCTCTCAGCCCTGGGGCCTGCACGGCTTTCAAGGGCTCCTTTCATAGGCCCTTGTTTTGTACGTTTGGTCTTCTGGTCGTCGGTGAGAAGCTGGGTACATCGAGTGGACCGCCAACGAAGGATCAGCTCCGGCCCAGAGGAAACTCTGCCCGTGTCCATCCCGGTGGGCCGCAGTGAAGAGTCTCAGACTAGCGATTACCTGCAAGTTTAAATTTTCCTGGGCTGCCTTCCTCGAAGAGGAAGGCCAACGCTCAGCCCTCGCAACGAGCCTGACGCAAAGCTTGCCAATTGACGAGGTCAAAAGATGTCAAAAGCGTTTCAAGGCTCAAGGAGGCTCAGCACAGGCAGGCGTAAACCAATGCTCGAGATGCAGCAATCAGGATATTCGCGCGAACAAGCGCTCCTCCAGTCGCCGTTGTTGTCATGCGTTTCGGAGTTTGGGCATCGTTGATTTGCTGATTTGCTGTTCTCCAGCCGATAAGACCGCATAAAATTCTGCAAATTCGCGACGGAGACGGAGGGAGCATTGAACCTTGTGGGTGTTGGTTTACACACTGTTCATCTGGCGTGATAGGTGCACTGTTGTCTAACCGAGGCGGGGCGTCGCCAGGTTCATGTATGGAAGGGTCGACACTTGGCCCAAAGGGATGCGTTGGCAAAGGCACGAGACTGCTGGAAGAAGCAACATCGCAACGATCATCACCTCCGTCACTCCTCAACATCGCCATCCTGTGCATCATGTGGTGGTGGAGGCGACGGTTTTTCGGCGGCAACATGGAAGAATCATCGAACAATCATCCCGAGTCCGATCTCCACCCCGTCTCACGCCGATGCTTTGGGAGACGTCTGCAGCCGCCCTTTGCGCATGCAGCAAGGCCATGCGCTCACGCCGCGCATCCATTGCATCCAGCCGACAGCTCGCCACTCCCCGCCTGCACCGTGTGCCACTTAGCGGTCCATCGATGCAATCGGAACGTTTGATCATGTGTCGCGCCACGCGATGCTTGCTGGCCTCAGGCAGCGACCCAGCTTGCAGCCGCTGCTGCCTTACGTGCGCCAGTTCTACGTCTCCGACAGCACGTATACGTGTGGCAGGCCTTACACACCATCGCTCAACACCCAGCCCTTGCAGCTGTTCACGCGCAGCCGCGTGAGGGCGAGGCGGTCTTTGCCTACTTCGACGACATTTGTATTGTCGCAGTTCTCGAGCGCATCCGGGAACTGCAGGACGCCTGCCAATGGGCCCTTCGCGAGCACGCGTGCATCGAGCTCAACCAAGGCAAAACCCGCATCTCGAACCCAGTGGGGGAAGGATATCTCCGACCTGCGCGGCCACGGCGAGGAACCCATCTGGACGGGGGATTGGTTTCTGCCACGCGACCGCCATTTTCTAAGCTGGCTTGCGGGCGTTGTTCTGCTCAGCGGGTCCGTGTAGTTCGGGTGGGCGTAAAAGCGTAAAAGTGTAAAAGGTGAAATTCGTTTTTCGCGTTTTACGTTTTTCGGTGGTGCTCGCCAGTGTTTTGGACCAGACAAGCTCCGCGTACAAGCGTAAAAGCGTAAAAGTGTAAAACCGTATTTTTGTTTTTCGTTTTTACGCTTTTACCCTGCCCCGCGTTTGTTTTCGCGGCACGTGATTGTCTGAAAGCGTAAAAGCGCAAAAGCGTAAAGGCGTAAACGGCCGGTTCTCAGCGTGCAAGCGCAAAAGCGTAAAAGCGTAAAAGGCGCGTAAAAGCGTAAAAGCGTAAATTTTGTTTTTCGCTTTTTCGCTGTTTTCGCTTGAATTCAGCACCAAGGGCCGCTGAAACCGTAGTCTACACCCTGTAGCTCCAAGCCTAAACCCGTCCGGCTTACTATGTGGGCTACGGCGTCGCCAAGAATGCCTGGCCAAGGCCCCAACGAGTTAGCTGATGATGAAAAGTATAGAAAACAACTCTGTAGATTATGGTTTTGTAAAGAAGAAAAACCTGAAGCGGAAGAAGAAAAACAGAGAAAACACATTGGGAAAGGCGAACATTGTCATTACACTTTCCGGATATTTTTTGAAAAAGCTCGAGGAATCGAAGTGTCGAGCATGCATAATTTCATGTCTTGCATGGCATGCATGTAAAGGGGTTGTTGCATGTATGGAGATTGGTAAGCTCGCAAGGTAAGATTGCTATGATTGCATGGCATGCATGCGGTCCTACTGCATGATCTCCTGTCTTGCTGTGCTTGCATAGACAAAGATGGCTTGGAAATTTTCATGTCTTGCCTGCATGGTATGCATGCATTTGCATGCAATGCATCATGTCATGCATGCGGTCATGAACGGTTTCTTGTTTTTGTTCTGCATGCATGCAACTTTCAAGATTGCTTGCAGCGGCATTGTATGCAGCACGGCAGCGGACTATGTTTTTGCACCAGCTCGCATTCAGGTCGGAGTGCATACTCAGAAAACTGCATGCATGGTGGATGCTCTGATCATGTATGGGCCCAGCAGACTCCTTTGACCGCCTCCATGCATTGAAAGCTGGAAATCTGCCAAGCAAGCGAATTATTCGGCATGCCCTTCATGCCTTCACTCCCTTCTCAGCGGCTTGGTCGGGCTCTCACTTGAAGCAGGGCCATTGCTGTCGTCGTCATCATTGGTGGCCAAACAATGTCGAAACCACTGCCACCACCAGATCCTGAGATTGCAGCTTGCATGCACTTAGAAGCATGGCATGATGAAACAAACTTCAGCCCAGGATCGTGACCCCTGCGAGATCGCTTCGCATCCAACACCACCTCCACTCAAACCTCCTAGGAAGAGGCGATCTGCTGCGGCCCGGGCTTTCATCGCGAGGAGGCATCGCGATCTACAGGGAGTTGCTTCAAGCAAAATGCTGCAGGCATCATGGAATGCTGAACCCTCCATAAATCAAAGATTGCATGCAAGCATGGATCAAACAAAAATTCTTTGCATGATCCATGCATGCATGCATCTTGGCAAGCACAATCCCATGTTCAAGCATGCATGGTCAGCATGAGCTTCATGCATGCTTGAACGAGTCATGCATGCCGGAAGCAAGCAAGGGCAAGCATGCACATGCATGATTCTTGCATGTAAGCATGGACAAAGAAAGCATTATTTCTTGTTGATGGGCCTAAAGTCGAAACAATCATGCATGCAACCTGCAAACATGAACACATGCAAGGCAAGCATGACACTTGCAAAAGAAACATAAGCACAGCTGCATATTTTCATCATGCATGGCGAGGTCGCAAATAGGCAGGCGGCAACACGGTCAGTGTGCCATCATTGGCTTTGTTGTACACGACACTGCAAAGCAGGTCATCGGCACCGATGATGTAAATCTGGGGGTCACCTGCCTCCTCACGAAACTTGAGCATGTTCATGTCCCACCGCTGCTGAATGAAGGCAAGTGGCGGGGGCAAGCATCACCAGAGCAATATTGCGCAGCTCAATGCAGCAGTGCACTTTGGCACATCTATAAGGGCACTCGTGCCCTGGCTCATTGCCATGCAGCACCATGTCGCCTTTCTTGATGATAGCACCATGCTTCAGCCTTGTCATGGTGCTTGTCATGCACTCATCCTCCTGCCGCAGGACATTGTAATGCACCAAGCTTTTCTGCAGCTTTGCAGTACAAGCATGCGGCTGCAGCAAATGTGCCCGCAAATGGAAACCCTCTTCTTTGCCCATGACCGACAAATGCTCTGCAGTCACCTCTTCCAGAAGAGATGTGTCGAAACGAATCGTATTGCTAGAAGCCGACCCATGTTTACGGGCGGCTTCCAAGACCCAGCATGCAGGCAGAAATCCTTGTTTCTCGTAGCAACCATCCAAGTGGAGGGTCCAATGAAACTTCGGCCGCATCACTGGACCCCATCCTGCCTGGCAGCATGTTGTGAAGTAGTGCTGCAATGGTTTCAACAAACCCAGAACTTCGGATGCAGTACACTTGAGATGACCTGTTTTTCTGTGGCTCTTGATTTTGTCTGCCGAAAACAAACTGCTCAAGGAGCCTTGTTTGTTGGCACCGGGCAACTGCGACAACTCCAAGTAGCCTGCGAAGGATTCCCACACATCGGCTTTGCCATGGTTTCGCCATGACTCGAATGCCCAACATATAACGAAACTGAGAACTCCGTTACTGTTTAGACAATGCATCCAGTCGTAACAATATTGCGAAGCCGGCTTGATCAATCCCAAAGCTCGTAACTTAGAAGACATGCACAAAGCATGTGGCGAAAATGTCCATCCACTTGCTTGTTGAAGCATTGCAAAGCGAGCCTTGCTTTCAGTTCCTGCCTTTGCTGCCAGCCGATCCCAACTCTGAAGCAATTCGCTGTCCGAGGCAAGGTCGCAGGAGGACAGGGTCAGGTGTCTGGAGCTGATCTTCCCCTCGTCGTCATCATCACCTTCACGTCTAACATTGAAAATGTTCTTGCAGAGCATGCAAACACGAGAACCGATGTCCTGGCGGTTTGCAAATGTTTGCTTCTGGGCACTGCCGTCTTGTAAAAAGACGTGGAGGGTCCAATGGAAAACAAACAATGCATCGGTTGATTTCATGACAATGCCATGCACCGGGTTCCAGAGCTGCTGTGCGAACATATCTTCCAAAATGAGTCTCAGGATCTGGCCGATACCAGCTTCAACTTTTTGTACTAGTTCAGTTCTCAAGACCGCCAATGTAGACCAGTGTCGCTCCTCGGATAAGCCTTGCTGTTGTAAGTTCAACCAAGAAAAATATATGCACCAAATTTTGCGGCCAGTACTGGAAAGTTGATTGCCGGGATGAGCTTCATCAGCATAAAGAACTCCCTTCCATGGGCAGTCCAAGCTTGAGGGGTCTTGCATGTGCATGTGATTGAAACTTGTCGAATGCAACCATGCAAGGTCGCATCGAAAGCCCTCGGGCATAGAGCACTCTATGCACCTGTGTGTACCCAAACCCTGGGACCTGGATCAGTGCTTGGCCGCCTTCTTCCGTTCCTACATGTACTTCTTCCATTCGGCCCGACCGTTGAGTCGCACACCGGCGAACCCATCGAAATTGCAATTGTCGCAGCCATACACATTGCCACGGCATCTTGCGCAGCCCCAGCAGGTGAGCCTTCCGTCCTGCTTGGCAGTCTTCTTCTCTTTGTTCATCGGGTGTTTCTCAACACACTTCGCTGCAGGCTTTTTGAAGAGCTGTGGCATCTTCTGATTGCAAGGCTTCCCATTCTTCTTCTGCTGCTTCGGTGCTTTCTTATTCTCCACTTGTGCCAATGCCTCTGCTTCGTACTGTTCCAAGCTTTTGCCTTCGTTTGCCCCTGGCACCGACTGCTTTTCCGGAGACTTGTTTTCCGGAGCATCGGCGGGGCTCTTTGCCGGTACGTGCAGTAGAGGAATTTGCAGGTGTCGGCAGCAACTGGAGCTGCCGGGTCACCTCGTCCTTGGAGGGCATGCAACTCGAGGGGCATGACTGCTTGAGTGCAGCTTGTCTGGCTTCCTCCTCGGCAAGCTTTTCTTTCATGGTCTCCAGCCAAGTCTTTTGCTGCATGGCATGCATGGACATGTTGCAAGCAAGCTGGTTGGAACCCTGAGAAGTGCCTTGAAGCAGCCGGCTGGTGGTGCGGGTTGGGCACGACTTGGACAAGACATGCAGCTGTGGCAGCTCTGCACAGCTGGGGTGAGAACCTTTGTAGGCTTTGGCAATCCAATCTGGTCCCAACTCTGGATATGTCCGGAAGGCAGGCACATCACTTTGTACGTTCAGGCTGTGAAAACGTCCTGGACGTCAGTCGCTAATTTGTAGATTTTGTCTGCATCTGGTTGTTGGGGATTCTGCCAAAGATGGGCTTGCACATGCAAAGTGACACAGGATTTCTTCGTATATACATTCTTTGCGGCTCGTCAAGCCAATCACCCGAAGCCGTCTGGCAATGAGGATCGGGGCGTCCTTGATGTCACCTTGCATAAGCTGCACGATTTCCTCTTTCGTCAAATAAGCCACTGGGTTCTTCAGTGTCTGCGGAACTTTGACGAGCTTGCAGCCACCTTCCGTGCTGCCACCTGAAGCATTCTTCAAAAGAGCATCACTCAATGCCTTTTTTGTATTTTCGTCCAATCCAGACTGTTCCACAGACTGGAGCATGTTCACATACTCCCCTGCCGGCAAACTGTCGGCAGTCACGACCTTCTTTTGCAAGACATTCAAAAGACTCGCCTGGAGCTGTGGATTCGGAGAGAAGCTCAAAAGCTTCTGGACATCCGAAAGCTCCTTGGCAAAGTCCTTGCTGCCCCAAGCAATTGCCATGCGTCCAAGGACCCAGGACCTAAATGATTGGGGCCTGTGCTAGGAGCCTGAGCCCGTAAGCTTGCCACCAAGGGCCAGAACACGAACAATTAGCGAGTTTTAGGCGTCCCAAGTATAACTCAATCAAAACACGCTGCTTATTGAAACCTTTTCAGTACCGCAGTCCTCGAGAAGCTTATGCTCCTTCACCTCACGCCAAACCCTAAACAGAAGACCCTCCAGGCCCTGAACCTCCAAGCAAAGCAAGATACCTACGCTAGATGGGTGGCGTTTCTTTTGACGCCGTTCTTGGCTCCTGGTTTTTCACCTTTCGTTTGATTTTTCGCTTTGTCACCATTTTTCCACTTTTACTTTTTCCGCTGCTTTTACAGTTTTACCCTTTTCGCTGCGTGGCGCGTTTTTACGATTTTACGGTTTTTCGCTGTTTTTACAGTTTTACTCTTTTCGCTGCGTGGCGCGTTTTTACGATTTTACGGTTTTTCGCTGTTTTTACAGTTTTACGCTTTTCGCTCCGTGGCGCGTTTTTACGATTTTCCTTTTTTTCGCTGTTTTTGGTGTTTTACTTTTTTCGCGCAGCAAATTGTTTTTACAATTTTACGTTTTTCGTTTTTACCTTCGTCCGTTCCGCGGCGGAAATACATCCGATCCTGGAATTTTTTACATTTTAACAGTTTTACATTTGTTGCCCCTGAAGTTGGGCTATCTGGTTTTTACATTTTTACCTTTTTACCCTTTTGCTCGCTTCCTCCGGTCGAAAAATTGATTTTTTGATTTTGTTTTTTACGTTTTTCGCTGCCGATGTGCGTCCGGACTCCTTAACTGTTTCAACAACACTAAGCCAGCACAGATTTTTTTTTTTTGTTCGCATCTTCTTGCTTCTGCCTGTCAGCGACTCATATACCTAAAGTTCTTCCACGGGCGCTGAATGCGCTCTAGGGCCGCAATGGCAAGTGGCTTCGTCCGTCTGGAGAGCCATGCTGGCTGCCGCGCAAACGGCCAGTGGGGCACGGTAGGCCTTCAAGATCCCGCACGAAGCGGCGGGCCTGAGCGTTCCAGCGGCCGCCAACCTCCAAGCCAAGCGCGACGAGCGTCTGCGACCCGCCCCGCATGAGCTCCGGGTATGCACCCCAGAGCATCCGATATTGAAAGTTTTCAATAAATCAATAATCAATAGGGTTTTGAAATTTGTGGAAAATCAAGCGTTTCGCGATTTTTTTAATACAGAACTTTTGCATGAAATTCAATAGAAGAGTAGAGTCAAAATCAATCGAGGATATCACAAAACCGATCCCATAAACTCAATCGAGAGAGCATGCATAAAATCAACAGAGAATGCACAGTAAAATCAATAGAAAATCCAGAGTAAAGTCAATAGAAAATCCAGAGTAAAATCAATAGAAATCCAGATAGAAAATACAGGCTTTCAATTCGAATCAGTTGTGAAACGAATCATGTCGTATGACACATATGCACATGCACATGCATACATACGTATATCTTTAATTCCTGGGCCGGGCTTCACAACCCATGTTTCCACATAGCTTTAGCCCTGGGCCGGGCTTCCCAACCCATATACTATTTATGCTATGGTATGGTATATTATATGGTTTACACAAATACATGCATACTACGATCCATGTAGGTTTGTGTGACTAACTGGGCTTTCCAACCCATGCAATGACCGGGGCTGTCCAACACCTCTAAAGCCTTGACGCTTTAAACTCTTAACCCCTAACCCGACCCCCTAAACCCGTAAGGCTCTAAACCCTTGAACCCCTACGCCCCTAAACTCTAACACCCCTAAAGGCCTAAGCCCCTAAACCTTTAATGCACATGTTTAGTTTGTTGGTTCGGTTGGTGACTAGGGTTTCTCACTCAGTTTCGTCTCAGCGGTTGGGGTTTTAGTTTCCCGGTACACAAAGTAGGAACAGCTGATTTCTGTAATTTTAAAACCTTTATAAAGCCTATCGCGTTTAGGGGCTTGGGGGTTTTGGGGTTTGGCGGTTTCGGGGTTTAGAGGGTTAGTTAGGGGTTTAGGCGCCGAGGCGGCGTTTCGGGGTTTAATTTGGGGTCTCAGGCTTACGGCTTTTGGTGTTTTGGTTAAGGGTCTAGAACGTCAGGGGTTTAGGCGTTTCGGGGCTTCAGGGTTTATAATCAGGAGTTTAAGCGTTTCGGGGTTTTGGGGTTTCGGGCTTCAGGGACTTAGGGCTTGGGGTTTAGGGCTATAGGGGTTTCGGGCTTCTGGGCTTTAAGGGCTTAGGGGTTAGGGATTTAGGGATTCAAGGGTTTAGGCGTCTCTGGTCTTCAGGGTTTCGGGCTTGGGGCTTTAGAGGTTTAGGGTTTTATAGAGCGTTTGGGCTTTTGGGCTTTAAGTCAAAAGCAATTTCGATGGACCCTTTTATCTTTGTAACCTAGTGTTTTGCTAGGGTCTAATGTGAGCAAGGGCTGCAACGGCAGAGCGCGACTTTCCATTCTTGTGCCTCAAAACGGCTAAGACACAGCATCAGGCCTCAACGGCAGAGCGAGGCTTTTCAGTCTTGTGCAATTGCCCAAAGATTTGGAAGCATGTCGGACCCATTTCGGGTGATCTCGCTCCGGGAATGCTCCGAGCACGTTGCTTTCAGCACTCACGCCGGTCCACGCACCAGCTCCAACTCCAGCAGCGTCAGCCCCAACTCCAACGTCTGCAGCCACTCTAGCGGGTTCTCTGTCAGGCCAGACGCTGGCTATTTGGGCAGAACCATCGCTCCGCCAACTACCACTCCGACCGCGGAGCTTCAGCTGGTTCCTGCGGAACCACCCGCCGCTCCAGCCGCTCCACCAGTGCCGCCACAAGAGCAAGATGCCTGAACAAGGTTCCAAACCTTTTTCGCCGAGCCCACCTTCGGGGAAAAGGTTTGTAACCTTATTATTTCCGGTAGGCAGCCGCTCCACCAGTGCCGCCACAAGGGCAGGATGCCTAAGCAAGGTTCCAAACCATTTTTGCCCAGCCCACCTTCGGGGAAAAGGTTTGTAACCTTATTTCCGGTAGGCGCATCAGGTTGCAAATCAAGCTTTGCGGGATTCCCACGTCCAAGCCCACCGAAATCGTAGGTTGCAAACATAAGCTGCCAAGCATCAATGCGTTGAATTTAAGTGTTTAAAGTGGTTCAGGAGTTGAGGCGTTTAGGCGCTTTGTTGCTTTTGATTTTTTGCGAGATTTTTGTAGTCTACAGTAGCCTTAGGCTAGCATGTAGCTGTAGCTTGTAGAGAGTTAAGGGGTTTGAGCCAACTGTGCTTAAACTTTATAACCGCAGCCCCTTGAGGCACAAGCGAAGTAGAAAAAGTGAGCCCAATACGCAACCCTACCTCCGCGCATGTAGCGGAGCTGGTTCGGTAGGCCCCCCGCCAGCCGCCACGTCCGAGTGGTGGGGCTGGTGGGACTGGGACTCCGACTGGAGTTCCCAGTGGGACTGGAGGACCTCCCAGCAGGAGGAACTCTTCCAGTCAGGCACCAGAAGGTGCCAAGGGGAGCGGAGCCGCTGAAGCTCCAGCTCGACCGCGCCGCCCTCTCATAGGCGAGCGCACCGAAGCCCCGAACCAAAACCGGGGCAGACCAGCCGAGCCCGAAAAGGGCAAAGGCAAAACCGGCCCGAGTGCGGGCCGCCCCGCCTCGGAGTCGGGGAGCCGAAGCCCCCGACGCGGGGAGAAGGGAGCAGGGAAGCCCACCAAGGGCAAGCCTGCCAAGGGAGCTGCGCAGCCCGCAAAGGGCACGGCAGCACAAGCAAAAGGAGCAGAGCAGCCCGCAAAGGGCAAGCCAGCTCCAGCAGGCAAGTCCGGCAAGGGCAAGCCTGCGACCCAAGAGCCTGAACAGGGTTCTGGGAAAAAGAAGAACCACCGAGGTGGTCGTTCCCAAGCGGCCCGCGCCAACCGCGAGGCCCGCGGCGCTGAAAGGCGCGAAAGAGAGGGTACAGACCCGGTCGTCCTCGTAGAGGGCCCGGGGACTGATATCCCAGAGCCGCGCACTCCGGAGCAAGCTCCTGCGGGTGCCGGCCAGGAGATTCAGAGCCCTAGCTCGGAATCCTCCTTGGACACCGCGGCGGTGCCCAAGGCGCCAGTCTTCACAGGCCCCGCGCCTGGCGAGGACACTCCAGACTTCGGGGGAAGCAACTCCGAAGGAGAGCGGGAAGCCCCGCCCACTGCTGCTGCAGCTTCTTCCTCTAGCGGGGTCGCCCTTGCTAAGAAGGAAGAGCCGGCAGAGCGGGTTGCCCCGCCTGTCTCCGCAGAGGCGGCCGTAGAGCCAGCCGAGGAGGCAAAGCCTGAAGGCCGCGCCCAAGGCGACCGAGGCAAAAGAAGAAAGCTCTGGAAGCCCCAGCTCCGAAGCTGGGCAGGAGCAAGCAGCCCCGGCGAGTGGACCCACTGAGGCCACCCCGGAGGCAGAGCCGAAGGCCCTACCAAGAGGTGCTCCGGCAGCCAAAGCACCGACGGTAAAGGCGCCGCCACCTCACTTGGGACCACCGCCTCCACTGAAGGAGGAACCCAAGGCCGCACAGCCACGAGGCTGCGGTACCTCCCGCGCCTCGGGAGGAAGCTCCGGAGCAGGAGCAAGAGCCCACCTCGCCGGCCGACGAAGGTGAGGAAGAGGAGTCCGAAGAGGAGAGCTCCGAGAGCCAAGGGCCGTGCCAGTTTCTCAACGGACTCAGGCACGCGGCTCGCAACAGGCCAGCGACTCCTTGGGAAGGCAACCCAAGGCTGGCAGAGCAGTACGGAGAAGCCTTGACCTTGCTGGACGAGATCAGCCAGGCTATCTTCGACGCTTCAAGGGATGAGCCAGCAACCGGCTTATCCGCCCCCGCAGGGCGACCCCGTGGTCGAGGCCCTGCGCGGGGAAGTGGCAACCCTTAGGGGGTTGTTGGAGAGCCAAGCGCAGCAGCTGCAGGCTGCGATTGGCGAGTTGTCGGCCCAGAGACAACAGGGCCTAGCTGCAGCAGCCGCCACGGTGGCAGCCGCTACGGCGGCACCCGCCCCTGCGCCCGCGCAGGCGAGCGGTGGAGGGCACTTGCTCAAGAGCATGCGTCTCCCTACCTCCTTTAAGGGGCGGGACGATCGGGAGCGCTTTGCCTTTCAGGCAGAGTCTTACCTGGCGGTCGTGGACACCAGGTATCCAGCAGAGCTGGAAATAGCTCGAAAGTGCAAGGCGCCACTCCAAATGGCAGCCATGACCGAGGAAGTGCGGACCCTCAGCGTCCGCCTCTTCGGCATGCTGGGCAGCTGGACCCAGGACTCCGCCACAGCTGTAAAGCTGGCGCGCGGAGTGAAGGGCCAAAATGGGTTCGAGCTCTGGCGTCTCCTGTGGCAGGAGCATAACCCAGAGAACGAGTCCAAGAACCTCACCTGGAGGCGGACCCTGCTGATGCCGAAGTTCCCGCCAAAGGAGAGTGACTTCTCCTTGGCTCTGCAGGAATAGGAGGCAGATGTGGACCGCTACGCCTCCGAGTATGGCGCAGGGCGCGCCCTAGCAGACGAGGATCTGCGGGCAGTGCTGGTGACCGAGAGCCCCAACGCTCTTCGGCAACACCTCGCTATGCACGCGGCGAGTCTTTCGACTTACGCCGAGGTGAGGGAAGTAGTGGTGAGCTACTTGCAAGCCAAAAGGGTCTGGACCCCGAGTGCGGGCTACGCCGCCTCTTCCCGAAGGGATCCCAACGCCATGGACATTGGCAGAATAGGGGACCGAGACGGAAAAGAAGGGAAGGGCAAAGGCGACAAAGGCAAGAAAGGGGACAAGGACCACAAAAAGGGCAAGGGCGACCACGACCACAAAGGCAAGAAAGGGGACAAAAAGGGGAACCAGCAAGGAGGCAGAGACGGCAAGGAGAGATGCCCCATCTGCTGGAAAACGGGGCACACCGTAAAAGAGTGCTGGTTCAACGCCAAAGGAAAAGGCAAAGGCAGCAAAGGCCAGGTGGCCCAGGTGGCCGACGACGCGGCCACGACGTTGTCAACAGCCTCCTTGGCGACTGCGGGTCCCTCCGCGTCCCAAGCTGGGGGAAGCACCGGCGGCTCTGGCGGCAAAGGCCAGGTACGCCAGGTGCGTGACGACCGCATCTTAGGTGTGCGGTTTGCCCCGCCTCACGACACCGAGCCAGAAGAGGAAAAGATCCTCAAGGTGTCGGGGAGTCTTCTTGTGGACTCCGGGGCGTGTGTGTCCGTCTGCAGGCCCGAGGCGTTTCCCGACCTGCAGCCCGCGGGCCCACCAAAGAGCCTTTACTCGGTGGACAACAGCCGCCTGAAAACAAAGGGCCGTGTCCAGCCGAGCCTCCTCTTAGGGGAGGAGCGTCAGTCCTGCAAGGTCAACTTTGAGGTGACCGAGGACATAGAGGACGAAATCCTCAGCATCAGCCGTGCTGTTGAGGCCGGTGCGGGCATTTGGCTCCACCGAGAGGACAGCCACATTTTGTGGCCCGACGGCGTCCGAGCCTCGATCCTCAAGAGAGGGTCACAGTTCCTCCTACCCTACGAGCGGGAGCTCCCGCCGGGGTCAACAAACCGGGTGGCACCGGTGGCGGCAGAGCCACCGAGCCCAGGCAAGGACCTGGGACACTACGACTACATCCCGGAGCACGACCTCGAAGCTCGAGAGGTAGAGGACGCGGCGATGGAAGCAGCAGCCGACGAGGAGGCCGAAGCTGCTGAAGAGGAGGAGGCTGCGGGTAACCCCGCCCCTCTAGAGGAGCAGGCCGAGCAGCCTGCGCAGGAACGCGCCGAGCACGAGCTCACTCACACGCCCTACCAGGCGTGGTGCGAGAAGTGCGTGGAGGGAAAGGCGCGCGAGGACCCTCACCGCCGCCGTGAGCCCTCGGATGATCCGGTGACGCCGCTTGTCACCATGGATTATCAGTTCTACAGCCGGGACGGGAAAGAAGTTGAGGAAGAAGCGTCGCTTGCCACGGTGCTGAACCTCACAGACAGGGCCACTGGCTGGACTCTGTCGGTTCCCGTGGCGCACAAGCACGTGGCCTGGCTGCAAGCCCGGTTCGGGACCAAGTCGACAGACGGGGTGACACCATATAGGGCAGCCACCGGCACAGACTATGGTGGAGCACTTTGCTCCTTTGGGGAGACCGTTGTGGCGAAGCTCCCAAGGCCCGGGAACAAAGCGCAGGTGCGCTGGGTCAAAGGGGTCTGGGCCGGCAAGCTGGAGCGCGACGACTCCCACGTGGTGCTAACCGAAGCTGGCGCACTCAACGTGAGGAGCGTCAGGCGACTCCCGCCGGAGACCCGGCACCAGACGGCAGCCGTTCTCAAAGCGTGCGGCCTGCCTTGGAACCCCAGATTTGGCCGCTCAGCGCCAGCAGAGCGCAGCGAGCCGATGATGGTTCCAATCCCTCTGGCCACGCCGGCCGAGGAAACGGAGCGGCTAGAACCACCCGGTGAGCCCTGGCTCTTCAGCGACGGGCCGCGGCCCGACGACGAGGCCCTCTTAGTCGAAGGGGCCGAGCAGGCCAGCAGGCTCCCGGACGCCAGCCCTACCGAGGAGCTGGCCAACGCAGAAATACCGGAATACGAGCCGTCCGACGTGGAGGCTGCACCTTCCGCAGCAAGCGCGCTGCCGCAACAAGCGGCAAGCCCCGCCCCAGCCGCCAACGACGGCTCAGGCGAAGGGGGGCAGAAGCGCGACTCTGCGGGTTCCTCCGCGAGCGCAGCGGCAGCACAGCAGCCGCCTGCAGCAAAGAGCCGGGTGGAGCCCAAGAAGGCACCACGGCTAGGAGCGCTCACGGAGCGCGAGGTGTGGCAGCACATCGCTGCCTTAGCCGACCCGCCGCTCACCAACCACCAAGGCGAGCGGGACGCGTGGGTCGGGCAGGTGACAGACCTGCTAGACCGGATGCTCGACCCCAAGCAGGTCGAGCAAGCACGCAAGGAGCAGCTGAGAAAGCTGTGGGACCGAGGCGCTTTCACGCCTGTGCTGCGGTCTGAAGTACCGCGCGGGGCGCAGCTGTTCAGGGCAAAGTGGGTCGACAAGTGCGACAAAGGACGGTACAAGTCAAGGTGTACCTGTGCCGACGTCAAGGCCCGCTACAGCCCAGAACAGGAAGCTGGCTTGGACGTTTTCGTCCCAACGCCAACGCCCGAGAGTCACTCCCTACTTGAGGTAGCAGCGCTACACAACGAGGGGTGGGTCACAAGGTCTCTGGATATTGTAGCCGCCTTCCTCATAGGGAAGGACCGCGGTGCGGCGGAAGGCCGCCCGGTCTACATGCACGCGCCTGTGGAGTGGCGCGAGCTCTTTGACCAATGGGTCTTGGAGCAGCCTGTAAAGGACCAGCAGTGGTACCGAGACCACTTCCGGGACTTTGTGTTCCGAGTGGACGGCAACCTTTACGGCTGGTTCCGTCTACAGGGACGAGTTGAAGAAAAACACACACAAGGTCAAGAAAAACACACACAAGGTCAAGATTCCAGCTCCCAGCCTTGTCTCAATCGCAAGAGTTTCTTGGATGTTGCTTTCAAAAGAGTATCTTGTCTGCTCCCCTCCACCCCTTGAATATGAATGAAAAAAAAGTTATGGAATAACTCTTCTTGCACTCGTCTGCTGATCTTCGCAATCGTCACTCGTCACCGTTTTCCTTCAGGAGCTCGCTCTCCCAATCTTTCGTCAGGCAGGTAATCCAAGTTGGTATCGAGATACGTGCCAGTGCTAATGCGAGACAACGTTTCGCTTCCTAACCTGCTACGTGCTGCAAGGCACTGCAGTGCAGGTATGCCGAACAGCCAAGATGGACACGGAAGCCGATTGGGCATACACGAACGCGGACTCCCGAGCTTGATGCAAGAGAGCTGCGCAACATATGAGGATTCAATTGGCACGTCCAAAACAGCACGTACTTGCGCACTCAAGCGAACTGCATCCTGCAGCTCAGCAATCACTTATGCAAGACGGCACTAAACAAGACTGCGAGGGGACTTGGTTGGAACATCCGCTTCGGGAGTGCCCTCCAATGCAACATTATGTCCACAAGCGTCTGCCCGTTCTCACTGCAAAAGAAGTTTGCGAAGCCAGGGAACGTATCGGGCTCAGCAAAGCGGGTAGTGCAATTATGGCCGCCCCATCTGTTGAAAGCCATAATAGCCATGACGCCGCATTGTATGCTGAGCTACATTTGGCAGCAAACACCCCTGTTATGTAGTGGAATCCGCTTGTAGAGAGACCCCAAGTCTGCCACAATAATTCAAGCCGACTCATGCGTGACGCTTCGGCCACGGCCTCTGTGCGTGCCACTGCCCGAATGGCGATCAAGTACCCCACATAAACGCCAATCAAGAAGATGCAAAGGATGATGCATAATACCATAAAGATTGTCGCAGCTCGTGAAACAACCACCGCTAACATCCAATAGGCCGTGGATGTAAGAGGTCTGTGCATGGTAAGGCAGACATCCGAAGCAGTGCGCAGCGTTCGCACGAGATCCCCAGCGGAGCTTCACGCACCAGACGCTTTGAGCATGGCACGAACGAGCTCGGCATTATCTCTGGGCGCTGGTCCGTCCAAGAGTTGCTTTGCCTGTGAACTCCACTTACGCCGATCAAAGTCTGAGCGGTTAATGACAGACTGCACCAAACGATCCAATGTCCAGACTCCACTCGGGGACTTGGCGGTTATCCCCACAGAGGCCCAGAGCTCAGAGAAATCCGATGCAGCAATGACCCGTGATCTGAAGTTATGCTGCGGCTCCTCGGATTCATCATCGGATTTTGCGGCACCCTTACGGCCACCGCGACTACGAGAGCGTTTCCTGGTTGGGAGCCGGATCCCATGCAAACCTTCACTGGCCGCTAGCGTCTGCACGGCTTCCGCACGGCCCCTCTCCGCGGCAAGCTCAAGTAGGGCTGTCTTCTCCTTCTCTGCGTGCTCCTTATCTTTGATAGCCTCCAACGCAGCAAGCTTCGCCTCTAATTGCTCCACTCGAACACCTAGCGGTTCATATGGCCCGGGACGTCCCTTGCCACTACCCTTGCTAGACATCGAACCCATTGCAATCAGCAGGCTGCTACGGCTACCAAGCGCGAGGAGCAGGGGGTCTACAAGCTCGTAATGTTGCGCTCATTCCGGGCAAGTGTCGCAATCGACTCAAAGCATGTCTGACAACTTTTAATGGGTACCCATGCTGGAGTGCATAGCGCACCGCCTCAGCGTACGCCTCTGAGAGTTGTTCATCATCATGCTTGTAAATGTGGGTAGCTCTGTGGCATCTGCTAGCAATCCACCACCAAAGTCTACGTGCACTTCCTTTGTCCACCTGATACTGTGGAAGACTGTGTTTCTGTAAGTGTGCGGGCTGGCCTGGTACTAGTATGGGCTTCTGCCGAATTTGTAAGGCACTGGTGACATGTAACACCAAATCCAACCATTCAACATGTGGCCCACGTCCTTCCAAATTGACAACCAACGGAAATGGGTACATACTTCGAAGCATCTCAAACAAACATTGCTGACAAGAAGCTGTGGACATAACGAGAAGGTCATCAACATATCTCTTACCATCAGTCTGTTCTCGAAAACTTCGGCCTCCATGCTCAAACCGGTGCTGTAAGCGTAGTTCACTGCTTGACAACCATTGAGTCTCATAATGTGCCAACAAAAGAGATGATGCGATTTTGCTAGCTCCATCACCCATGGGAACGCCGCGTCAATGCTTTAACATCTCCTAGCAGAAACATCGACGAGTCAAGGTAATACCTGAGAAAGCGCACCATCCACTGGAAGTTCACAAATACACCACGTTTCCGCCAAGAGCTTCCGCCCAGGAAACCTTTGTACTTCTGTCCTGGTAGAACAGTGACGCCAGATTTGAAACATGTGCGCATGCAGTGAGCTGCCAGTTGCACGCCAGCAGAAATAACACTCATCGGGTCAACATCTTTAAATAGTTGTGAGATATCCGCCACTATAGTTTCAACCTCTTCCTTTCGCATACCACACCGTCTGCATACACGACACGGGATACAACCAGCCATCATTTGTTTGTGCATTTCCATAATCTCGGCTGCAGCATGAGAAAGGTCCCACATCTCCCAATGAGGCAAGCCACTTTGCTTCAAGGCTGTCTGCCAACATCTACTGAGTATTCGCAGTGGGATTTTCAAGACGTCGCGTGAATTTGCGATGATCTCCCTCCAATGAGCATGGTCCTTAGTACATGTGCGTCCAAGCCCATCTGAAAAACACTTTCGCTTGACTGTGAGGTACGCGCGCGCCACTCTGCTTGTATTCCATAGGTGTCGTCGTCTTCGCAAGTGTGGAAGTACGTCATATAGGTGTCTGCAATACTGGTCGGTTACCACATCCTGAGCATTCCAATCCCATCGCACCTCATAGTGACTAGGGTCTTGCAAAAAGTTCTCCGCCAAGACGGTCCAGTACCGATGTTTCGTCCACCCGACGGCAGCTTTCGGGGCTTTGTCTTGAGGGATGACAACAGATTGGTTTTTCAGACAGTTAAGGATGTCTCTGGATTTAGGTGGCTTTGACCTTGTACCCGGACGCGCATGTGCAAACATCACTTTCCTGATGGACACCTCCATGTAACTATATGGCATCGCTAGGACATCCGACCAAATCACACACAATAGACTGTAAAGCACGAGCAAAGAGGACATCAATCTGAACCTCCACAAAAACCAGGCGCATTGCTTCAATAGGCTCCGGACAGAAGTATTGGATGACGACATATCGGTCTTTCGATCTGGCAACATGTCCTCAATAGCGGCATCCAATGATTCACCAGCGAACCCTGAAGAAGTACACCAATGGACCACCTGCGAGCTCCAACGATTGAGTAATGTCTGGGATCTCGGTGGCGAGGGTAATGAGAGGTTTTCATCTATCGTGCGCATACCAACACCATGTACTGCTGCATTTCGGTCTCCATCTCGCTGATTCAGCACTGCATGAGCGTTAAAATGCTGAGCAACCTCCCTGTGATTGAAGACTTGGCCTGCGACGGTGACAGGTGCTCCTGCTGCTACCTTGAGGTTGTGTTTCCACCATAAGTTGTAAGCGTGCTCAACCTGGGAAGCATGTCCGCATCTGGCTGCGATCTGAAGACAGAGATTTTTCACGGCAGACGCTTCGCGGAAAGATGCACCTTTAAGCACAATTGTCTGCGATTTGAGTAAAGGCATGCCCCTAGCGTACAGGACTGAATTGATACGTAAAGCATGCTGTCTCCGAATCTGGTTGACGATCTGCAAACAAGCAAGTCCAATGTTGAGGATAAGTACCGGCGTCATTCGCGACCAAGGAATTTTACTACCTCGAGTGGCCACCTTAGCTGCCCACATGTGCGCTTGGCTTGGTGTGGCCGTGTCAGTCGGATCCTCAAAGCCAGCTCTCAACAACTGTGACCACGGTAATGTGGTCCATGCGCTGTTTTGTGCAATACTACTGTGTGTCACATCCAGGACTTCAGGGCGCCACTTCAACCCACGAAGATGATCAACATTCAAATCACAAGCATGCTTACGGGATAAGGCCGTCCGCTTGTGTGGTTTGAGGATTTCATTCGCACCACGTCTCGGAAGTGTTTTATTTGCTTGCCGGCGTCTAGGCCTCATAGTGGGAACTTGGTATGTGCGGATTATGAACTGTTCTCGATGATATGCGTCCTGCTTGCTACCATGGAAAATGGGCATCATGTGCGTGGACCAAATCGGATTCCGTCGCCACATCTTGTATCGCAATTCCGTGCCATATGAGGATCGGCACGTGCATGCCTTGTGCTCCGCCCATCGGCTGGGGTATCCAAGACGTGCCATATCACACGTTCCGCGCGTTTTGTTCGTCGTGGTACGTAGAGCTGCACAATAGCCAATGTAAAAATTCTTATGGCCACGGCTTATACCAGCGATGTAATTGATGCCTTCACCACAGTCACGTCTGTCAACGTATTGGAAGAATCTTTCGCACTGTCGTTTCCAATGCGTTAGGGCATACTTTCCAACCTCCCCACCTGTCATAACAGCTTCTTGTAGCGTCGGGCGAAGGAACCGCGAGTAAACATTGAAGAACTTCTGGCGACCAACTTGTTGATCACACTCATCTTGTAAGATGACCTCACACGAACATGCAAAATCCAACGCTGCAAGGACGCGGATGACATCATCATTTGTTCTACCCCACGACATATGGTCAGGAAAAGCCCATGCCATACCCAACATCAGAGGCAATCGGTAGTCTTGCAGTGTCAAATCTGACCGATAACAAGCGGCGTGCACGATGGCATCTGCAATTTTAGAGGTGGCTTTATGCATAGCATGGACCTCCAATAGCATCCCCAAGCCTTCCAGCAAGATATGAGGTCGCAATCCATCTGTGCAGGTTTGGGCTCGTTGCCAATTGGTTTGTTTTGCTTCTGTAGGAATAGGTCTTCCCCAAAGTCGCGCAATCTGAAAAAGAACATGTGCAGAACTCATAGGAATGTGAAACCACCAGACGAATCTGATTCTGGAAAAGAGCTTTTATTTTCAAGCCTACGACTCTCCGGGAGTACTATAGGCAAGTGTCAAGAAAAACACACACAAGGTCAAGATTCCAGCTCCCAGCCTTGTCTCGATCGCAAGAGTTTCTTGGATGTTGCTTTCAAAAGAGTATCTTGTCTGCTCCCCTCCACCCCTTGAATATGAATGAAAAAAAGTTATGGAATAACTCTTCTTGCACTCGTCTGCTGATCTTCGCAATCGTCACTCGTCACCGTTTTCCTTCAGGAGCTCGCTCTCCCAATCTTTCGTCAGGCAGGTAATCCAAGTTGGTATCGAGATACGTGCCAGTGCTAATGCGAGACAACGTTTCGCTTCCTAACCTGCTACGTGCTGCAAGGCACTGCAGTGCAGGTATGCCGAACAGCCAAGATGGACACGGAAGCCGATTGGGCATACACGAACGCGGACTCCCGAGCTTGATGCAAGAGAGCTGCGCAACATATGAGGATTCAATTGGCACGTCCAAAACAGCACGTACTTGCGCACTCAAGCGAACTGCATCCTGCAGCTCAGCAATCACTTATGCAAGACGGCACTAAACAAGACTGTGAGGGGACTTGGTTGGAACATCCGCTTCGGGACGAGCTGAAAGAAGTCCTCACCGGCAAGCTAGCCAAGGACTACAACTTCCAGCGGGGCGTGAAGGACCCGTGCGTGTACCTAGACCGCCGGTCCGGTCTAATCCTTCTCCACCACATCGACGACATCCGTGTCGCAGGCCCCAAGGCCGCAGTGCTGAAGTTCACGGAGGTGGACCTTCCGCGGGCACAGCGGTGGAGGTCCTGGGAAGGACCAAGGTGCGCACAGAGGACTCTATCCTCACGCTGCCCGACAGCAAGCACGCTGAGAATGTGTGCGAGCAGCTGGGCATCGGTCCAAAAGACAAGGGGACCGTGCCTAGCAAACCTCTAGACCTGACCAAGGTCGAGGAGCTCTCCGCGGGTGACGCCGCGAGGTTCCGCAGCGCCGTGGGTAGTGCTATCTACCTGTCGGCGGACAGGCGAGACATACAGTTCGCCGTGAAAGAGCTGGCGCGAAGAATGCAGAACCCCAGGGTCTGCGACTGGCTCGCTGCGGAAACCCTCGCGCGATACCTGCGGGCAGCCCCGCGGTTTCCAAGAAAGGTCGGTCGACGTCAAGGGGCGCACTTAAGGGGCGCACTTATAGAGCGCATTTTGGCTATAAGTCGGAACCAATATATATCAATTTCGTTTGTTTCCGTTTCGACAGATGTTTTTTGGCGATCGTCTCGGATTCGATTATAATATTTGGAGACTGACTGGCATGCATGCAGGTTCTGTTATCAACTTCGTTTTTTCCGTTTCGACAGATGTTTCTTGGCGATCGTCTCGGATTTCGACGGACTGGCATGCATGCACGTCAGTTCTGCTGCTCGTGAGATGGATGCACAGACGCGACGCACCGTAGATTTTAAAGGCTCGAAAATTTAAACAGCACGCATGGAGTAGCAGCCCGAAACCTGAACCGGTCATT